TCTCCATTACTTAAGAAACATTTTATTTCAGCCGATGTCACTTTCATTGAGTCGTCCTTTTATTATACATTATCTTCAGTTGATGCCCCATCATGTTTGGACTTCACCTCATATCTTCGGCCCATCCATCAGGAGACTCCCATTAACCCCCCATCTGATGAGCACCCAAACTGCCCTCCTATGTCAGACCGTCCATTACAGGTATACCATCGACGTCCTCGATCTCCTCCCATTGAGCCCATCGTGGCCACGCCCGTTGATTCTCCTATGACGAATCCTGCATCACCACCATCACTTACTCCAACACTTGACACCACTCAGGATAATTTGCCCATTGCTCTCCGAAAAGGTACGCGTTCCACATTGAATCCACATCCCATATATAACTTTTTGAGTTATCACCGCCTCTCTACCCCTTATTATGCCTTTATTTCCCACCTATCTCATATATGCATTCCTAAAACCACACATGAGGCACTGGCACACCCGGAGTGGCGTAAAGCCATGTTGGCTGAGATGGAGGCTCTTCATTCTAGTGGGACGTGGGACTTAGTCCCCCTTCCCACCGGCAAATCAGTGGTGGGATGTCGGTGGATTTACACAGTTAAAGTTGGGCCTGATTGGAAGATTGATTGTTTTAAAGCACGCCTTGTGGCGAAAGGGTATACTCAGATATATGGCTTGGATTACACTGACACTTTTTCTCCCGTAGTGAAGATTGCATCAGTTCGTTTGGTTTTATCCATGGCAGCAATGAGCCGATGGCCATTGTTCCAATTGGATATTAAAAACGCATTCCTTCACGAAGATCTGCACGAGGAAGTTTATATGGAGCAACCACCTGGATTTGTTGCTCAGGGGGAGTCTGGTATGGTGTGCAAATTACGTCATTCATTATATGGCTTGAAGCAATCTCCACGTGCATGGTTTGGGAGGTTTAGTGCCGTTGTCTGCAGCTTTGGCATGATTTGCAGTGATGTTGATCATTCTATATTCTACAGACATTCTGCTGGCAACAAATGTATTTATCTTGTTGTGTATGTTGATGACATTGTCATTACAGGTAGCGATGATCAAGGAATTGCACTCCTCAAGCAACATTTGTTTAGCAATTTTCAAACAAAAGACTTGGGAAAGTTGAGATACTTCCTTGGCATTGATGGAATTGCTCTATCACAAAGAAAGTATGCCTTGGATATTCTTGAGGAAACAGGTTTGCTAGATTGCAGGCCAGTGGATACACAAATGGATCCAAACGTTAAACTCTTATCAGAACAGGGAGATCTTTTGCCCAACAAGGAAAAATATAGAAGACTCATCAGCAAATTGAATTATCTTACCATCACAAGGCCAGATATTTCATTTGCGGTAAGTGTTCTTAGTCAGTTTCTTGATAAGCCATGTACTGGACACTGAGATGCGGCTATCCGAGTTTTGAGATACATCAAGAAAACTCAAGGGCAAGGATTGTTGTTTGAAGATCGAGGGCACCATGATATTGTGGGATACTGTGATGCAGACTGGGCCGGATGTCTGATGGATAGACGTTCCACTTCGGGATATTGCATCTTGATTGGTGGAAACTTAATTTCATGGAAAAGTAAGAAACAGGATGTGGTTGCCAGATCTAGTGTTGAAGCAGAATATCGTGCAATGGCCCTTGCTACATGTGAAATCTTATGGTCGAAGCATCTCCTCCAAGAGTTAAAATATGGAAACACAAAACCGGTTCAACTCATGTGTGATAATCAAGCTGCAATGCACATCGCATCAAATCCAGTATATCATGAGAGGACAAAACATATTGAAGTTGATTGTCATTTTATCCGAGAGAAGATCACGAGTGGACATATCATCACAAAATATGTGAACACAACTGAACAACTTGCAGATACTTTAACTAAGTCTCTTAGAGGTCCTAGAGTGGAATATATTTGTAACAAGCTTGGTACATATGATTTATATGCTCCACCTTGAGGGGGAGTGTGGAAACCCTAGTAGTATTGGGCTTAGCCCATTTGTATACCTTGTATAGGAAACCCTAGTACTCTAAATATAGCTATAAATATAGCTTCTTGTATAGGATTTCATATGAAGTATAATGAATACAATCTTATATTTCACATATTGCAATATAAATTAGAAGATGAACTTCATATACATTAAAATTAAATAAAATTAAAAGTAGTAGCAGTGAGTAAGGCATGGAGTGTTAACCAATTCACATAAAACAATTTAAGCCAAAGATTATAAATAGAGTTAATTACCAATATAGGAGTAAAAGTAATAGAAATTGCACATATAGGAGTAGACGCAGAAATGAAGTTTAGTATGAGTAAAATAGATACGGATGGACCAAAATAACCCTAAACTATTTATGGAAAGAAACTAGTATAGTGGGGTGAAAGGCGGTTTGCACCAAATCGTAAATGGAACGACAATTTGCACTGAAGAGCTTCTCTCACCCATCTCCTGCAGACTGCCGACACATCCCTCCAGCGCCGCCCCTCCCCCTCAGGCCGCAGGTGTTATCAACCATCATCGCCCACACCAGATTCACCATCAATCGCCGTCACTCTGGTTATCGTAACCACCTTGTATTGAAACTGCCGCCACTGTAAATTCCTAGACCACCACTTCGCTTGCGAGTGCCGCCACCTCCGTCACAATTCTGCCAGATTTAGCCTTGGAAATTAACTTCAAAATCTATCATAAACAAGGATTTCAAATCTGGCATAAATTTGACAGATTTATTTTGGAATATTAACTCAAAAAAGCCATAAATTTGGCAAAAACATGAAATCAACCGGAAAATTAATTTTTTTGATGGAATAACCACTTCAAACAATCAGAAATGTGAAACACGAATTTATTGACAAAAAATCAGAAGAAAATGTTTACACAATTTTTTTTTGCCATATTAGTGTTATCAATCTACACATTTCTTCCATAAACATGACAAAATGAAGTTATTATCCAAAATTATGGAAAATCGATTTTTTTAAACTAAGAACTCAAAAACCTGAAGTGCTAAATAGAAAAATCCTCCAAAAATTGAGAGTATCCGGAAAAATTGAGAAATTAAAAAATGGAAATACGAAATTAAAGTCTAAAAATCAACAAATCGAATGCCAAAACTCAAAAAACAAAGAAATAGAAGAAAAATATGAAAAACAGAATAATAGGACGAGGAGGAAGGAGGAGGGAGGAAGAAGGAGGAGAAGATGAGGAAGGAGAAGAAACCTGATTTGTAGCCACCGTGCAGTGGACCGATCTGATTTGCAGAGAAAAGAAGGCAACAGATCTTTGCAGGGAAGAAAAAACTAACCCATGGAGAAGGGGAGAGGATGGTGCGTAGGAAGCAGAGAGAAGGCGGTGAGTGGAATAGTGGATCGACCGTGAATTAAATGTAATAGGGGTAAGAATGGAATTAAAAAGTCCGAATGTTTTGAATAGGAGTAATATGGTTCTCTTTGGGGAAGAAAACATATATACTCCTATTTAAGAATTTCTCCTAAGTGAAAAATATTACTCCGCATTAAAATCAAGAAATCCAAGATTGCAGGATTTGAAAAAACGAACTACGGCAAAAGGTAAGATCAAACATCTGATTCAAGTCAAATCTCACTTTCTCAGTCCGTCAATAACTTATTTTAGTTATTTTAGCATTTGGGAATTGGGCTGCTCCGCAGTTTGGGTGATTTACATGACCGGCAACGTCATTTTGTATTAATTTAATTTAATTAATTAATTACCTAACCAAACAACATAGTTTGGATTAAGTTGAAAAAGGAAAAAGGAAAAGACTTCTAATCGCTGAAAAAGAAGAGCTCCAACCATGGAAAAAGGGACCGGCTCGCCCCTATAACACATTACTATACCTATAATAATAGCATTCCACAATCAAGTCATGCACTTAATTTGCAACTTAGTCATATTATTTAGGAACTTAATATTAATAAAAAAATCATAATTATCAGAACTAGAGTTCAAATCTTTTAGTAAGTGATAAGAATAAAATATTCACGTACAAAATCATAAAAATGTCTAAGTAAGGATAGCTACTCACTCTCGATTAGGGATGGTCCCGGGCCGGTTCGGGCCTAGGCCCGGCCGGGCCTCGGGTCTGTTTTGTTGGGCCCGAGCCCGAACCGGTGGCCACCGGTTCCGGGTCCGGTTCCGGGCCGGGCCACCCGGTTAGTTAATTTTTTTTTCTTCTTTTCTTCCCCCCCCCTTCACCCCCCCACCCCCCCAAACACCCCAAACCGGTCCTAAACATCAAGCCCAACTCAATAAAGCCCAAAAAAATGAAAAAAAAATAGTTTTTGGCCCGGACCCGGGCCCGACCGGGCCGGTTCACCAAATACAAGGCCCGAGCCCGGACCCACCCCCCCACCGGGCCTAGGCCCGACCCGGACCCGGACCCAAGAACCGGGCCGGTTCCGGGCCCGGACAGTGGCGGGCCGGGCCGGTCCCGGGCCGTGCGGCCCGAACCGGGTCCATGACTACTCTCGATCAATTAGGTAGTACTTTATGCATGCAACACTTTATGCATGCAACTATGCAAGTATGGCAATGCAGGGGTAATTTAAGCTAGGTGTCAAAATGTCAAATGTAAGGCATGTCGTATGCTCCACTCCAACTAAACCCGCCTCTTGTTGCATGAACAAATTGAATATTCTCTTGTTGAACTTTATCAATTTTCTTTGTTGGTTATCTAAAAAACTTTAATTTGTGAATCTGACATTTTCCTCTTATCTGCACACCTTAATCACATGACTTCTACTTTTCTTATTGTCAACTAATTCGAAATTGACAAAGTCCACCGATACGGAATACGAAGTATTTGATTGAACATGCATGATGAGCTGATTGCAAAGCCAACATGTTACGGCCCATTGTTAGTCATCGCTTTCAGGCCTTTTTTTGCTCCAAATGTTTGTCAGGTAAATTAAGTGTTGTACATTGAGAGCATCAAACATATAAAAACCTATTGCAGTCAAAATATAATCTCAAACCACACCACCTAGTTTTTGACAAACCCATAAATTTCTTTTACCCATTAAAAAGAATTAATTCCACTTTTGGTCCTATTAGTTTTATACTTTTATGTCCATTCCACATTTAATCCAGAACTTTCATTGTGTCCAGTATGTGGCAAATGGCAAGTTGTGTTTTATACATGGCAATTAAATGTGTCACTGTGTCCAGATGTGGCAAGTTGTGTTTTATACATGGCAATTTTTACCATCGAAAACATGGCTCGGAAGGACCAAATATGGGCAAAAACACAATAATCATGTATCAAAAGTGGACAAAGTGAAAAATGTGGACTAAATGTAAAATTGACCTAAAACTCGTAGGACCAAAAGTGAAATTTATTCCATTAAAAGTATCACACCACATTCCAGAAAGAAACATGTCTAAATTCAACAATTTTATCGAACTTCTGTCACAGCAGAGCTAAACAGCCTTTCTATTAATAGTTCAACCCTTTATAGCAGTAATACCATACTGACCTGCATTGAACATTGTTATATTATTACAACTAATTAGTGTTACATCATAACACTGACTCAAGGTAGGGAACTTCATTTGGATGGTTTATCTTCTTCCAACAGCAACTGTATTATGGATCTGATAACTTCATTATCCTTTATGCTTGCACTCTGAAACATAAATGATGAGGCGATAGGTGCAGCTATATTAGAAGATTATCAAGGAAGTTAAACACAATCAAAGATCTTTTAATTTGCGCAACCCCAGGAAAGATAGCAGTTCACTAGTATACTTGAATGAGAAGAAGATTCTACCCGTGGGTTCTGAATTAGCTCCTTAAGTATATGACGGAGAGTCAGCTGAAGTTCTTTGAAAAGCACAGCAGTTTGTGCTGCTGCCCGAACTTTCAACCATCCATCTACAGTGATTGTTCCACCCTGTTATATATATTTTGGACATGAGTTAATATACACAGCCTATAGTCGCGATAGAGTTGGTGACATTATTGGATCACGAAACCCCTCCAATGTGCTTTCCCTCTCTCCATGCACAAAAGGATTGAATCATTGAGACTTGCGAGTCACGTCACAATCCAAATTGACCAAATTAGAAATGAATTAAACTCTTTGTAAGCAAGAGTGGAACACCATTGAGGGGGTAAATGGGAAAACGTACAACTAACAATCTTGTTCCAACTATGCCGCATGAGTACTCATTCTCACAGGCACGAATGGCAATGAGGCGGGGTTGGGGCAGGGGTTTACTCCCCCATCCCTCGTCCCATGTCCAAAAAAATAGTTACTTGCAAGCAAAACAATAGTTTGTTTTCAACCGCTCTTTATACTGTAGTGTTGTAGCACTAGTACATAGACAAAACAAAATTAATCAATAATTTACAAGTCTTCAAAAATTCAATAGATTTGTTCATTATGGACAAAATCGCAAAGAGGGTTATAGGCTTGAAGATTCTTCTAACAGATGGTTCAAAAAAACTGACTAGACAGTTCCCAAGTTTTCAAACTAGAGAATAGACCCACCAGTCCACCACCACTATTTTCCTTACTCCTTAGTATTTGGGTTATAATTACTATTACTGTTGTTATTGCTGTTGTTGTTGTTGTTGTTGTTATTGTTATTGTTATTGTGCGGAAACGGGGGATGGGGTGGGGGTGCATAACCTATTACCCACCCCACCCCAACACCTGCTCCACCCCAACACCCGCCTCACTTCTCCCTCATGCCGATAAAATATTTTCATTTTTTTTTTGAGTCAACGATGTTCTTGATCCATGATATATTTCAGTGAGAGATTATTTGAGAAATGAAGGTCATATGGAAAAAGTCTTCCTTAAAATTAATTTCATAAGCCTCTAATATTTAAGTTCTCTCTCTAGGTCTGGCTCTCGACGCCGCTAGGGTAGCTTCATGTTGTTTCCGTCTTTGGCTCGGACGAAGTACGGCGGACAGCGACGGTCATCGTGGAGAACGAAGACTGATACGCAGCAGAGTGTGCAGCGGACGGCGGTGGTGTCAAGCTTTGGCAGGTCTCCTCATCTGGTTCAAGTTAGGCTTTTGAACGAATGGAAGAGGTGGTGCATCAACAACCACCTGAATTTTGATGATGAGGAGGATGGAGACCTTGATCCAACCGCAAAGGGGGCTGAATTTCCGGAGGTGGGAGTGATTCTCACGGATCGGAAGATCAAGGTTCAGGCCGTGAAGGATCTTTTTGCTTCAATCTAACGACTAGGCAAAAGAATGTCAGTCCAAGAGATAGACGATAAGAGGTATTTGTTACTTTTTATCATATAGTGGATATGAATCGTGTTCTGGAGGATGATCCTTGGTTGTTTGCAAGGAATTTATTACTGCTTAAGGTAGTTGGCCCAGATGATGTTCCCCATAGGATGAATTTGTTTGAAACAGAGTTCTGGGTGCAAGCGTACAATGTTCCCCATAGTTTTATGAATATAGGTACTGCTAGAAGGGTGAGAAACTATATTGGGGAGTTTATTAGTTTTGATGAGAGCCAATTTAAGGAAAAATGAGACTCTACAGAAAATAGTGGTACCAAAGAAGAAGACAACGGAAGCGCTGGGGAAGTATCAGTGGATCAGAAACGCAGAATGATATGGGAGGAACAGGCAAAATAGGACACACCAAGAGAGAAGATGGCTCTGGATAAAGCAAAAAACGGGGAGGCGGCGGGTCCGAGTTCTTAGACCCGCTGGTCATACGATTGATGCTGCTGCCGAAGAAGACAAACTTAGGCTTTTATTTTATTGCTATTTTGCATTTTAATTTCCACGCTGAGACTGTTGTTTTTGGTTTTTACTTTATTTGGTTAGGATTGGGTGATGAGAGTTCTGCGGTAACCGTCATCGGCTCAATTATGCCCATTTTAGGATCAACGGGTTATATTGCTTTGTCAAAGGTGATTAACTCAGAGTCTGGCCCAAGAGCGGATGGTTACTTGTGGTTCTTTTGTTATTTTGACCCCTATCTGAATGCTATGATTTCAATCTAAGCCACTTTCTTCCCAAAAAAAAAATAATTTCATAAAAATATAATATTTATAAATTTTACACAATTACAATAACAAGTCATTGGAGTTATCCAAAATTGACTACCATTGACCAAAAGAGTCAATTTGGCCAAAATTTGCGGGATGGAGATAATAGTTTTATACTACGTATATACCTAAAATTTCACTTTCTTTAATAGAAAACATTATCAATTTGTTTACAATCTATATAAAATTGTATTTCTAAACAATGAACGTACATGAATAAGAATAAATAATACTCCATCCGTCCCAATTTGTAAGATACTTTACGGTTTACGATGTTTGACCAACGATAAAGCAAATTGATCCCTGTCAACACTCAAATTAGTTTTACAAAATGAAATTTACATATTCAGAAACTACATTAAAACCGCTACAAAACCTTCAAAAAATAATTCACATTTCATAAACTTTTGATATATAAAGTAAAGGGGAAATGGAAACTAATAATCCAACCTTTAAGCGGTCTTCTTTCAATAATCCCACCTTTTGATTATTCATGAATAATCCAACTTTTGCACCTCATCTTCATTCATTGGTCCCTGGTCGGTTAATGACCTACTATTTCAAGTTATTTTCTTATCTTTGCAAAATATTATCTTTGTGAAAGATGAGATTTATGGTATAATGATTTGCAAAGATAAGAAAATAGCTTGGAATAGCAGGTCATCAACCGGTCAGGGACCAGTGAATGAAGATAAGGTGCAAAGGTTGGATTATTCATGAATAACCAAAAGGTTGGATTATTGTAAGAAGACCGCTAAAAGGTTGGATTATTAGTTTCCATTTTCCCTAAAGTAAAAGATTAAGGGTTGGTTTGCAACTCCTTTTAAAAAAGCACTTCTTAGCTTTTGGCTTTAAAAAAGCACTTATTTTCCCAAACACTACAACTTTTATTTTTCTCGGCTTCCGCGTCAAAAGTGCTTTTACTTTTTCTATTACACAAAAAGAACTTATTTTACCAAACACTACCCACTTTTACTTTTCAAAATCACTTTTTTCTCAAACACTATCAACTTTTATTTAATCATGTCTCCCCATTTCATTAAAAAAAGCACTTTTTTAAAAGCAGAAGTTGTTGCAAACAGGCCCTAAGAGTGATTTGTGTTGACCAAGTGAATAGTAAATGTATCTTACAATTTGGGACTGAGGGAGTAGAATATTGCTTTGAAGTTTCAAGAAAGATTCAATTATTTTAATAAAAAATAAATATCATACTTAGAAATTGAACACATGTTACAATGATTTCATTACTACTTTAGTCACTAGTCACATTTTTGTAAACAATCTTATTTTAGTCAGAAAAATGTAATTTTTTTCATAAACTTCGTAGTATTTAAAAATAATTTCATCAGTACTACTAAATTAAAACTTATTTACACTATTATTTAACTATCAGTAAACTAATAGTTACTGCACTATAGTGTCGTGATCACTTCAGTTTGAAAATTGAACGTAAGTTAATATGATTAAGTTACTATTATAGTCATTAGTCACATTTTTATAAAACATTTCTATTTTAGTCTTAAATATGTAACTATTTCAAAAATTTAGCATTACAAATCAATTAGTTTAAAAAGTTAAAAAAATCGAGTGATTCGAAGGTAATAATTTCTAATAAATATTTATTTTCATTTACGTCGTTATTAATTTCATTATTCTTTATTTATGTATATAGTCATTTATTCATACATATTATTTTTAAAAAGAAATTATGAAATGAGGCCCCTTTATAAGTGGAGGCCCTAGGCAATTGCCTAGGGTAACTCCCACAAAAGCCGGCTCTGGCCCCGAGCCCCCGCCCTCATTGCCATCCTTACGACCTTACTCATGGGGCAATGGATGTAATAGGGTTTTAATCCACAGTGAGGATGGGGGAAGTTGATGGGGGAAGTTGAAGAGAAGAATCCAATACATTATTGTTGCTATACACACATTACAGTAAGTAGATCTTTAATTCAAACAAAAAAATTGCTTTTAACTACTGATTCCTCCCAATCCTCCATTGAATCAGACATAAAAAGTATAAAACGTTCGTTGGACTCTTCTTTTTTCCTTCCCCCCATTTCAGAGAAACATGGTGTAAATTGTTAATATTTAATATTTCATATTCACACTTGGCTAGAAATAAAAGAACTCCATACTAGGAAAACTGCAAAACACGTGTAGAATCTCATGGGATAGGAATACCTGATGCTGCACGCTTATTGAACCGCCAAACAGCAAAATGGAATAAGGGGAGATTATGGTGGTATCGCGCAGAAATACTTTATTTGTCTCCACCTGAGAATTTTGTGAGCATCACAATCATATATAGACATGTTGTACAAGAAGCAAATATGATACGCCTAACATGATAATTACTCCTCCGTCCCAAAATGGTTGTCTGCCTCTCTGATTAAAGCCTTGAGTGAAGTTATCTTTATAACTTTATTTTTGTACTAATTAATGAAATAATGAGGGAAATAAGACTAAAAGTTATTTCGAAAAACCTGCCCCCGTCACAAAGTACGGTTCTTTTAAAAATGAAAGAGCCGGTACCGTCCTGAATATATATAGAACTTGTCCCGTAATGCACCAATTCTTAGTATAGTTGTTGAGAACAGAAAAATAAAAATCAATGGGGTAAACCGTTACCCAGATAATCAACGATAAAAATACCGTTGCTCAGAGCTAAAAGGCTAAACTCCAATTTTATTCCAAGATTATCAAAAATGAACCCTGACAAGGGGTATAAATAGCCTTCTAAGAGAAACCCTAATCAAGCCCAAATTAATTAAATCTTAATTAAGCTCATACTAACTACTAAGTACTCTACTAATATTAGGCCCAAACTAAAAACATAACATAAACTTCATAATAATAAATAAAACTATAACCCTTGCCCACAACTAGCCCACAGAGGTGGGCCCAAGCCTGTTCCCGCCCCTTGATCTCTCTGCTCTCTATCAATCCATCCTCCTCCGAAACAACCTTGTCCTCAAGGTTGGAATCCGGAAACCGACTCACATTTGTCCCGACGGCTGTCCAATATCTTTAGGAAAAATTGAGATGTACTCCTCCACGGTCCCTGTGTGCTTGCCTCCGGGCAGCCGTTCAAAGCAATTGCCCTTAAACCGTGAGTCAAAACGAGCCACCAATACCTGTATAAGCTTATCCCATGACATGCCCGGCTTTAGTGCCCGTAACCAGGTCAACCAATATAGGGTTGACCCTTGCATCGCAACTACAATGGCTGCCACCTTCTTTCCCCGCGGAATACAGTTCAATTCGAACTGTTGCTCAGCCCTATCAACCCAGCTGATTGGTTCTTCTCCGTTAAACGAGGGCAACGTCGTGAGAAAGGTGCTGCACAGTCCAATTCCGAACGAGGATGCTGCTGCCGCGTCGAGTGAAGCCACCGCCGTAGAATGCTCCTTGATCACTGGCGGCGCGAGAGCCTTTGTGAGCGCAACCAAGGAGGAAGTGACGTTGCGCGGCTGTCTGTCGCCGCTGTGCGCAGATACAGTGGGACTGCCAACCACGTCCGAGCTTTTTTCCGTCGTAACTGGCGGAACGAGTGCCTTGGTAAGCGCTACCAAGAATGCGGCGATCTATATACGACGCATGCCGTGCTCCTCTAGGGTTTGATTCATCCGAGTTTGCTCGGCCACCATCTTTGTTAAACGGTCGTTCTCAGATCTCGTCATCCTGGCGGGACGGGATTCGGCAAGTTGGACCAATTGTTGAGAACAGGAAAATAAAAATCAACGAAGTAAAATGTTGCCCAGATAAAACGATAAAAAATTCCGTTGTCTAGAGCCAAAAGGCTAAACTCCAATTTTATTCCAAGATGATAAAAAATGATGTCTATCATTTGCAATGCAGCCAAAGATTGATTATTTTTTGGCTTGAGAATATGATGGAATAAAGCAAAATGGCTCACTAAACTGTCTGCGCTTCTTTGTTATGAAGCAACAGTCGGTGGGAATAAAGCAAAATGGCTCACTAATGATATCTTTGAGTAAACACAATGTAGATTATTGACTATTAAAACAAAAAATATAATATATATACGGAGTATATATTATTTTGTATAACCAATTTTTCAGGACGATACGTGACGATTTAAGACGTAATACGGTTTTGGGACGGTTCTGTGATGGTTTTCACTTAGCAACTGGTACTGCACCATATTTTTAAAAAAATTGGTTCGGTACGGTACAATATTACATTTTCCTGGTTCGTTCGGTGGTATAGTTCGGGACGGTGATAGGAATCTAGCAATAATCCTGTCCAAAAGTAATGAAAAAGTACACAGATCTAATAAACAAGAAGGAAAATGTTGTTTATTGATGAAAAGGGTAATCCGTAGGCAACAAGGCAAACAATTGGGACTGTTCGAGAAACCCACTCTCCAAGGCAACACTCAACCAAAATAACAGCCTACCTCAATTAGCTATTCCCCCTACTATTTATAGCTATTATCCACGCAGGGATTAGTAAGGCTACTGACCACCAGTTACTTATTAATAGACTCCTTATTTCTTCTCTTGTAAACCTTGCAAGAATTACTGAATAGGCCCCAGATTCCTATCAATACTCCCCCGAACAACCACCTTGTCCTCAAGGTGGGTGATAGGAATCAGCCATGGTCTTCCACTTCATCTTCATCCTTGTGCCTCTCCCTTCCCAATACCTTACTGATTGTTGTACCATGAGCTTCAGGATCTGCACTCTTAGTCCCCTAGATGGAAAGCCCTTGTCCTCCCACAGTATTGCATGCCTCACAGCTTTCAACATACCACTTGAATGAAGTTTTTCACTGAAAAGATCATACAAAACTTCATCCGCATGCATGTCAAAAGAGAAATCAAGTGAACTTGAGCCATAGTGCTGTGTTTCTCAATTTGAATTTAAGAATTCCACATCCTCCAAAGGTATCCCACAATCATGAAGCAAAAGTAGCATTTGTTCCAGTACAATGTACCCCCTACTATCAACTTTAAGATCAGGCTTAATTTCCCTGTATAATGCACCAATGTGCTGAAGTATAGGAATCTCCAAGGTAAAATACCCAGAAGACTTCACCCACTTTCCCTGCGCCAAGTTGGACACTTCAGCAGGTAGAGAGCCTGATAATTTTTTAACAATTGAAATTGCAAATTGCAGTGAATTGCTGCCATGGGCCTGGGAATGGCTGGACCTGTCAGCATCACAAATTGGTGTGCTGTTTCCGAAGATGATAACAGATTTCTCAGAAAAAGGATAACCATGGTCCTCCCAAGCCTCTGGACCAGTCCTCCTTTTACCATGGTCTGAGATTCTGAGGAGTATATCAGTTGAGCCACCCTTTGTAAATGTTAAATATTGATTGTCCCGTAACCATCAGAACCCACTCTTTTGGTTCGTCTCCTCTAGGTTATGCAAATTTATCTTTACAAACCTCTTGCTGCCCAAAATTATAAGCATGAACTCACCGATATTTTCTGAAAACATTTCCTTTGGTTGTTGATGATGTTGAACTTTGACAAGATCAGTGTTATCTTCTATAATGTCCCCGAATTTAAGTAATCCCTTTTCATAAGCAATTAAAACTCTGCTTCCAAATGAACATGGGTGTAGAAGCAAACCAACAATAGATACTGGGCTGGGCACTAAATCCAAGTTGGCTGCAAGAATAGGAGAAACATAATTTGGCAATAGTCTTTTCCCGGCATCATATTTCAACATAGACACACAATCCGTATAGAGCAATTTAAGCTTAGGAAGCCCTTCCATTATAGGCTGGAAGTCAACAGGCAGCGTATAACCAAGTAAACCAACATATTCCTAATAATTCCCAGCAAGTATAATTCCCATTCCATTTTGAATATACTTCATACAAGTATCACTATCAAATCTGAAACCATCAATCTTATTCAGCCCCTCCGAATTCAAGTTTGATGCATGACTGTGCCCAATATCCATTAAAACACCCAACCCATGTTCATAAACTATATCAACCAAAAATTTAAAGGGAAAATGGAAACTAATAATCCAACCTTTTAGCGGTCTTCTTACAATAGTCCCACCTTTTGATTATTCATGAATAATCCAACCTTTGCACCTCATCTTCATTCACTGGTCCCTGACCGGTTGATGACCTGTTATTCCAAGTTATTTTCTTATCTTTGCAAAATATTATCTTTGTGAAAGGTGAGATTTATGGTATAATGGTTTGCAAAGATAAGAAAATAACTTGGAATAGTAGGTCATCAACCGGTCAGAGACCAGTGAATGAAGACGAGGTGCAAAGGTTGGATTATTCATGAATAATCAAAAGGTAGGAGACTATTGTAAGAAGACCGCTAAAAGGTTGGATTATTAGTTTCCATTTTCCCAAATTTAAATGCTTCTGAGTTTTGGTCTAGGGCACTAGCATACCTTCGGACATCAGAAGTTTCTAATCTCCTGTCATCTGTAGCCTTGCTTCCGGAATACAATCCAATCAAACACCCAATATTAAATTTATCCATCACACCAATCCGTGCCCCGTAATCTGCATAATTCTTCCAGTAAACCAACAATGCATAATTCTTCATAATGTACCCCTCTGCTACCTTCTCAGTATCCTCTATTTGTGCAGTCCAGGCACCAAAATCTGTATAATTGTTTCTCCTAAGGTTCCCTAATCGTCCCCCTTCATGAGATCTTGCCAAATCATTTACAGGTCGATGCACAGTATTAGCAGCATGTTTAAATTCTGATTGTATTCCATTTTCCAGGACATTGATGAATGCTGGCTTTCTAGCTTTGCTATGAACTCCATCCATAGCAGCAGTATACAGGGTAGCTGGAGATTTATCTACTTGCCCAGAGATAGTCATGATTTCCAGCTGAGACAAGCCTAAAAAGATTTCGGGAACCACTTTTTGCTCCAGTTCAGTAGTATTTGAATCAGCACTTTGATCATTAGCTGATTCATATTCAATGGCACCAGAGGCTTGAGTCACCACGTAAGATTTGTCCTCTCGTCCCCCATCCTCATCCATGAGCTTATCTTTGGATAGAGGTTGCCGTGACTTTCCAGATTCCTGCGACTCGGACAGCAATGGCGAACTGGAGGCTTCTTTTTCTGGTCGCATCATACATCGAAGTGAACTGCTAGCGTATGCTGAAGTCAGCAAACCTGGAGACACGGCTTGCGGAGAAGATTGCAAACAGGAAGAAGATATTGGCAAGGAAACCTGTGAACGACTAAGGGAGTAGACTTGCGATGTTGAACTGTAAGGAGAAACAGTAGTTCGCGTAGAGGATTGCGAACTGAGAGAAATTCTTTGCGACCTCGATGATTCCTGGCTTTCTTTCTTCTGCAGGCGGCTAGGTGGGAAACGCCTAATGGCCGCTTCCTTTAGAGCCTTCCAACTTGTTTCTCTCGTTTGAAATTCCCACCATTGCAACCAGTCAAACGCCCTTTCTTCCATAGCCTCTGATGCGACTTCAACCTTATATTTTTCCGCAGTAGCTTTGATACGAAATACTCTTCCATCCTCAATATCCAACTGTATGCATCATCATAGTTGTTACGGCGGGGTTTTGCGGCGCGGCGCCTCCGGACTGCCATACCGCCATGGCGATATGGCGCCCGTCGCGGCGGCATCGCGGCGATAAGTCGAAATATACACTAATAAATTCATAATACGTTTTACATACTAAAATACCTACATGTAACACTTGTAGGCAACACTAAAAATGAAGTAATAAAACATGTAATCACAGAAACAACATACAGAGTAATCCATAAGCCTATAGTACATCAACACAATCCCAAACAAATCCAATGAAATCCATATCCATAAAATAAAAGTTGTTTTCATAAAATTGAAACAATTGAAACATTTCCTAAAATATTAGCAACTAAAATTAAATATAGTACAACAATGCACACTTCAGTTAAATGATTTTCTGTAAAACACAGTTTAACACAGCATTAAATACAAAGCATACCACATTAAATACAAAGCACAGGTTAAATTTTTGTACAACATAAAACATTTTTTTTGAAAGAGTGCAACATAAAACATTAAATATTTATGCACACAATACTGGAGTAATGCAAAAAAAAGGACTTGCACATTAAACCGACTCTAGAGTCTAGACAAATATTGGACCAAAAAAAACAGCGGATGACAGTCGCTGTGAGTCACGAGCGACTACAGCCTGGGCGACGGAAATACAAGCGAAGCTGGAGCGTGCAGACGACTGAACGATGAAGACGGGTGGAAGCGACTGTGCTTTTGAGAAGTCGTCGATTTGTAGATAGGTCTGTTTATTTTATTTTATTTTATTTTATTTTATTTTATTTTGATGGGTTCAAATAATTGGGTTTGGGCCAGTTCGAAATTGATTAACTTACGTTTGGGTCGTCGCTTAGGCGTCTATGGCGTGTTTCCGATGCCACAGCGACGCTGCGTCGACGCCAAATGGTTTATGGCGTCTCGACCTCCCATGGCGAGCTTCAGATAGCGCCACGACGATATAGCGACGTTTAGGCGACGCCGTAATAACTATGTGCATCATCCCCGATAAACAACGCTAGTTCAACCTTTCTTCCTGTACGAATATCTCTTCTACTGCTATCACGACCCATACTAGAGCGAGAGTGACCAGAATTACCTTCGGACGCAGCTAGATGCTCAGATTCCTTTGTTTGTTGATGTTGAGAATTGGCTCGTTGCTGATTAATGAATTCCAAACTGAGCTGTGAAGCTTGCCAAGTGAGAGAATCAGCTGGCGATTTCTCCTGGCTATCATCGTTGCCCTTATTGAACTTCTCTGCTTTTTCTCTGGATCGCGAAACACTCCTATCAACACAGGAAGGTTGCCGCAGGTTAACAGACTCCCAATGGAGTGGTGACACTTGAGAAGTGTGAGAATCCGCTGGTGATGGATATGAAATCGACGAGCGAGTAGAAGGGGTTGGCGAACGCAAACTGGGAGAAACAGTTCGCAATGGTGAAGTTGAAGTAGTAGCTCGGGACAGAACCTGCGCACTTCGCAATGCACTGGGAGACTTAGTTCGCATCTGCGAACTGTTAGAAGCCGGACGATGCGATGATCGTGATCTTCCCCTGGATTGAGTATGTTCCTTCTTCGCTGCGATAGATGCTGAAATTGTTGCCATAGAATCCGCGATGCAATTCTGAATCTGTGCTGCCATTTAAGCCGCGATGTTTGCCAAAGCCATCCTCATCTCCAGTTCGAACTTATCCATGCGAGCCTCCATTTTAGTTCTCGTTCTGACCATCCACCTCTGAAACGAGAACTAGGTTGAAGTCGCAACTCAATTCCGGTCCTCAGGAGCTACTGCTCTAATACCAATGATAGGAATCTAGCAATAATCCTATCCAAAAGTAATGAAAAAGTACACAGATCTGATAAACAAGAGGGAAAATGTTGTTTATTGATGAAAAGGGTAATCCGTAGGCAACAAGGCAACAATTGGGACTGTTCGAGAAGCCCAATGTCCAAGGCAACACTCAACCAAATAACAGCCTACCTCAATTAGCTATTCCCCCTACTATTTATAGCTATTATCCACGCAGGGATTAGTAAGGCTACTGACCACCTAGTTACTTATTAATAGACTCCTTATTTCTCCTCTTGTAAACCTTGCAAAAATTACTGAATAGGCCCCAGATTCCTATCAGACGGTTCTGATACGAAACGGGAAATACCAAATTCATGCTCAGCCCTACTTTTTAGTAGACAAAAATGAATGTGATTTTAATGTGGACAAGAAGAGACAATGAGTGGAGCTGAAGGGACAGAAACACCCCTAATATCAGTATTAAAAAATAACCCTAAACCTACCCTTTCCCTCCCTCCTGCACCCTCTCTCTCTCTCTCTCTCTATGCTCACATTCATGGCCTCCGCCTCGAACCCATTACACTGAAGCTTTGGCGATGATGGCAAGACTTTGGCGATGAAGGCGTCTACAATGGAGTACGGCTCTGCCTAGGGTTTTCTGAGGACGACGGATTTTGATATTTTCTTCGCCGCTTTGGGATCCAGAAGCTGTTCTACATTTCTATTGGGGGCTGTTGGGGCAGTAATGGGGGTTGTGGGGAGGGGTGCGGTGGTGGGGCCAGTGACAAGCTGATGGGGACGCTGGGATCACTGTTGACAGCAAGTCACTGGAGGGTGGTGGGCGACAAATGATGGCAGATTCAGATTGGCAGGTCACTGGGAATGTTGAGGTTACTGAGGGCGCTGGGTCACTGGACTAGTGGACTGTCAGGGGTCACCGGGTGGCGGGATCATTGGTTGTCTAGGGTCACTAGGGCGCTGAGGTCACTGCCTCCGGCAGTGGTGTGTGTTGTGTTACAGGCGGTGTCACTGTCACTGCTGGAGTTGTTACTGTCATTGGAGAATTGGATGCAGGGGCGGAGCCAGACTTTAGTACAAAGGGGGAGGGGATCATAGCAACATAAAACAATATACTTCTTCTGTCCCGTTAAGATTGACACATCTTTCTTTTTTGATCCTTCCCCCTAAGATTGCTCATACCAAATTTGATAAAATTTGTGTGGTTACAAATTATTCTTACTTTATTCTTATTTTATTAATTCAATATCAACCACATAAACTCACTTTTCGTAATAATCGTGTCACCTCCTCATATCTCAATGTTAGTGAGACAGAGGTAGACTAATATTCATTTACAATATTCAAAGTTATAAAATAAAATAAAATGTCAATTAAAATTAAGAACCTCTTTCTTGCATATGTTGAAAATTGTCAATTAACTTTAGAGCAGAAATTATGAAGTTAAAAAGCTAACCACACATTATTTAGAATAAAGTTGCATAACCCCTTATTTGTAGTTAAAAAGTCACACAAAAATAGTATTCTAAAAGCTAACAAATTACCAAATACCAATAATTATACGCAGTAGTATTTAATAGGAACAATTCTATAAAAGTAACTGATACACAATTAACAGATTGAGAAAGTGACAATTCAATCAAGAAAAGTTAGATCTCCTACACAAAACTAATGCATATTTGCTTATTAGGACCTATGTTAGAATTGTGTTTTATATATTGGGCCTAAAATAGATTACCATGGCTGTAGTCCTGCACACATATGTACTTCAATGTCTTGTTGAGGGGGGCCCAAAAGTTTATTATACTTGTATTAAAAAGAAAAGAAAAATCTGAGGGGGGTCATGGCCCCCTTGCCTAAGAAGGTAGCTCCACCCCTGATTGGACGGGATTGTGTCACAGGGGCTCCGATAGGGTAATTAGTATAACACAGATGTGTTTCTAGTTTTAGGACTAATTTAGTCACTTTTTGGAAACTCATAACAAGGTCTCTTTTTTGCCTACAACAATACTTAAGTAATACTCATGGACAAAACCCATAATTATATTAGCATTAAATATTTTTTTTAAGCTGTACTAAAAGCTTAACTAATTTAGCATTAAATTTATCTACTTCTAAAACAACACTAGAGTTTTTATTAACTTAGATTTAAATTTATATTTTTAAACTATACTACCTCCGTCCCACAAAACCTAGCCAACTTTCCTTTTTGTCCCTCCAAAAAAACTTTGCCATTTCCATTTAAAGTAACAAATATGTGGCTAAAGTTATTGCTCTCTCCTCTGCACAAATATCAACCACACAGTTTCTCATTTATTATTCTACGTACAAGTCAACTTTGGCAGAGTTTTATGGGATGGAGGGAATATTAAATATTTGTGATGTGACATAACTACTCATTTATAAGAAGTTGTCAAGAAATTTTTTGGCAAAAGAATAATAAATTTGACATCCATTTTGGGACAAGGTGAGTACTTCAATTCTCATAACTATGCATGGTTGAGAATTTGAGCAAGGACCTCAAATGATGAAGACACTTGTTTGTTACTTTATTCAAAAAGCAAGACCACGGTAGGAAGAGATGAAAAGATAATGACACAAATAATGTGACGAAGTGTTCTAAAAAACACTGACCTTTTCAAGAAAGACAAGAAATGGATATTGTAAAGCTTTCGAAGTGGAGTTAATTGAAGAAGGGTGAATATGAACTTCTCTTTTTCCATCAAACCACATGGACTGACTTTTTGGTTTTTGCCCCGTGTACTGTTTTATGGATCCAAGAAGAGATGTAGCAACACCATCTTCTGTGGCAGCAACATTGGGATAGAGACCAGCACAAAGTATTGCCTAAACATGTACACTCAGAATCAGTATCTTAGGAAATCCAGAAAATAAATAAACAGAAAAAAAAGCAGTAGCACTAGTGTTTTATTTAAAATAAAAATCAAATGCATACAGATTGAAGTATAGTTTACTCAAAATGTTTACAGATTTATAATATCCTTCATAAAAGCTTTGGTGTTCTACTAAAACATAAAAAAAATAGTTTACCTTAAGAATTAAGTAATGATTTGCATGCACATTAAATGGTTGCGCTGTATCAGAGAGCCAACTGCCAAGCTTTTCTTTCCTTTTTCCAGAGATCTGCATTCATTGAGTATCTCGAGTTACAATGCTACTACAAAACACAAGATTCAGAGAGAGAAAGGCAGGGTGTCTAGAAATGTATCACCTTAAGACCTCAGATTACTTCACAAGTAACTCTACATAATATTTCCAAATTAAACCAACAAATAAACTTCTCAGAAACACCGTTTTGAAAAAGAACATAGTACGAATGAGAGAACTCAGCCTTTATGCTTAGACTTCTTCATCTAAGTTAGTACCACTAAATAGCATCACAACCTTGCCTAGTAACAAAGACATCGATGCCAAGGCACTTGACTTAAAAGGTGACTGATGAGTTTAACCAGCCTAGTAAGCTAGTTTAATCTAACTAATTATTAGAGTAGTTTAGTCTCCATTGTTTAATTCTTAGTGTCATAATCACTACATTTGACCAAAAAGGTTTGAAGATTATTTCATTAGTCTATCAAACACATTTATGTAACAGGTTTGCTCAGTAAACTGAAAAGAAAATGCCCTCAAGCATAATCATACAAATTTGTCTACAGAATAGCATTTCACATTTGGAATACCTGAAAGCTTTTGGGAATTTCAATGAGCCCAATGTCTGCTAGCAATGTTCCAAATTGTATTCTCATGTCTCTGGAATGCAGCACATTAATTTTAGCAAATGGCAAACTTCTGATCGATTTAACTTTAACTACTTACCCTATGCATTTAATAGATGTAGCAAATGACAGCAAGAAAAAATCACCTAATTAGAAAGATATACACAATCTTGACAAGCATTAACCCTTCAAATTGGGGAAAAAGTGAAAATTTAATTAAATAAAATGAAAAGCGCATATGAGGAATCTAGAGATGATGCAGAATGACCTAATAGAAGAATATAGAGACTGAAAAATTAAATAAATAAAATAAAAGCATATTTTTATGACGTTTCAATTGATATTTTAGATTTTATTTTGAGTAATAAAAGCTGCTGATCATGTGTTTTTCAATTAACTGTGTTGTGTTAGTAATTTAGTACTCCGTAAGTTGTATAATGCTCAGGTGCAAGCCAAACTACAACTGCCTTAATGACATTGAATATATTTCATTCCAAGGATGTTTTTTTTGGACAGTTTTCAGTCCCAAACCAAACTAGACCAGACCGGACCAGGCTTAAACAGACCCGACCAGACCAGAGTTCAACAGACCAAACCAAACCAGACCAGACCAGACCAAACTTGGACAACTATAAAATACACGAGACCAGACTTGGACAACTATAAAATACACGAGACCAGACATTTACTAGATCAGACCAGTTCAAATCCAGACTTAAACAGACCAGACAAGATTAGACCAGACCTACAGTCTAAAAGAAAACATCCCAAGTAGGTTAAATCTACTTGAGAATTAGTGTACTCAGTATCTTTTTAGTTAGATTGTGTCCAGCAGTCCAAGAAACAAGTGAATTCTATCCTATGTTGGATCCACTTCCTTATAAGCTATAATTAGTTCAATGAAGTTTATGCAAACACGCAAGTATTTTAACAATTTCTTTCTTCAGTGAAGAGGGGGGTTCTGAAAATGAGTCAAATTTCATCATGGGGGCTTAATGAGAGAATAAAGACTTACGAAACATTAACAAACCTTATCATATACATAACGGAATTGCTTAAGAAATATAAGTTGCAAAATCTCTGTGCTGCTTTAGCTCCACTCTGCATGAAGAAGGATGCATTCAAGTATTCAACCAACCCGCATGAAGTTCACAGTGATGACTGCCCTAAAAGTAAACTAGAAATGTGGAGCACTAGAAGATTAACAGTGCTGCAAAAGGGAAAACTTGAAGATTAGCCATCTTTAGTGCTCATCTGACTTTTTGCTTGTCATAACAGGAGGTGTCTTAATGGTGAGCACTCCACATTCTGCTTGTCATAGAGGTATTAGAGATAGACAACCCTAATCTACTCTGTTTTATATAATCTATGAAGCACGGATACTTCCCTAGGGTAGCGTATCGGCGTATCCGATACGTTTCCGTATCCGATACTCTAGGATACCCGTACCGTACGTTCCCGGGCCGTATCTGCAATTTTTAAAAGTTTCCATTTTTTTTTTGTAATTTTTTGAAAGTTTCCGATACTCGTATCCTGACGGATACCCGTATCAACTTTTTTTTAAAAAAATCCCAAAATTTACTTAATAAAATTCTAAAAAAAATGAAAATCTAAAACTACATTTTACTTGGTAATCAAATAATGGGCCTATATGGCTATATCCGAATTAAGTCATTAACTCATACTCCGAATTGGGTACTTGCACTTTTAATTTCAAGATTGTAGTTGTTTGACTTATTTCTCATTTTAAATTAATGACTTATTGACTACATTTATATTTCGAGATGCACTAGTGTATACGTAGTATGAGATATATATTATGAATTTAATACTAAGTATCTTGAAAAGGGAAAATGCTTCAATGCAATGAATAGGTAGACATCATAGGATATTATATGTATATATATTTAAAAAAAACTATTTTTAATATTTATAAATAGACCCCTATAACTTTTAATATTTGTAGATACACCCCCATAACTTTTAATATTTATAAATATGGCCCCGTATCCGTATCCTACTTTTTTTTGTTTTGACGTATCCCCGTACCCGTTTCCGCGTTTCCGCGTACCGGTATCGGTGCTACATAGTATATAATCCATTGTTTTTGTGATTTGAATTAGGTAATTGATCAAAAATCTCATGATTGTACTTTTGAAGAGTAGGTAGCCTGGTAAATTCTGCGACACTGCAAATTAATCTAATCTTACTATATCCGGCAAATTAATCTAATCTTACTATACATAGGATAATATTAACCATGCCAATATCCTTTACCCAGAGATATGTCCAAATAATTTGCACCATGCTGAATAAATGTAGGACTGTAAAAAGTTGGGATACATGCATTTTCCCTCTCAACACACCTCACACAAAACCTTCTCCCATTTCTTATATGCGACCATCATTAGAAGATGGTCAGATTGCACATTGCCATCACAAAAATCAGTCTCGCCGCTAAGTTTGTCGCCCAATAGAGCCAGCTTGGCCCTTTCAGCAGTTTGCTTCTGTGAACACCTTACATTTAGTCAGTTCATTCCTCTGTAGATAAATCAAAGGAAGTAGTACAATGTTCAAGATTGAAGTCATAGAACCTCATCTTTTGGATAAACAAATGGAGACTTGTAGCTCAAAAAAGATGAAATAGATAGAATTGGTGATAAACAACCAAAAATAGTGCCGTACAACATCATCTGCAATTCATTAAATAAAAAAAATCAGACTGCGGGAAAGGAATACAACCACTCAAATCTCAATAACATGACAGTCTTACAGGCCAGTGTATTTCCATCTTTAAGAGTTTAAGACCTAAGGTTTGGTTTGTGCGCTAGGATCAATAAAAAAAAACACTAAAGCCTACCTTTCCAATTAGTACATCAACTGGGAGTTTTGCTAAATGAAACCCAAGAGGAGTCAAGTCTTCATTTCCTTCAATTGCTCCCACCTAATCACAAGTTCAATTTAGATAGGCCAGATAAATCTTATTGCATTGTCAATTATTGCCTTGAACATTATAGCTCACTAGGCACTTTTTTATGCTCAAGTAAAATATAGCATGACCAAGAAGATACATTTTCTTTCACAAGGTCATGGTAATTGCAATAGCTAAACTTATGGAAAATGCTTGTCAATGAAAGATAATCTGTGGCAAAGACACAGTCAGCACATTAAATCAAAATCTAAAAGTTAGTCATAAAAATACCCCATGTTATAACATAAACTGTTGATATGTGATACCAGTGAATAACTGAATACCTCATATAACAAAGAAATTGCGGATGTAATGGCCGCTTCCTTTGGAGGCTCTAGAGCCTGTAAAGCAGAATTTAAATAAGTTATTACCCTATATAGGAGTAAAATAATAAGAAAATTCCAAAATAAGAGTTCCTAATGATTTATTCCCTGAATAGGAGCTATTAATTGACTGTTCTAGTTATACCCTCTTTATTTTCCAAACCTTCCGTATCCCACAACCACTTCTTCTCTCTCCTCTTATTTCTCTCCTCATTTCTCAAGCACTCCAAGTCCCCAACCCCATCTTCTTTTATCTTCTCTTTCTCTTCTTCCTTCTCTCCCACCACACCCACCTCGCATCTCATCTACATACATCCCCACCCCTTCTCTCTTCTGCATCCCCACTCCAACATACAAAGGTCCAATCTTCTACTCCGGCAGCATGTTGCAATTCCGGCGACGTGGTGCAAATTTTTTCTCCGGTGAATATCTTCCATCTTCTCTTTCTCTTCCACCTTTCATCCTCCTTTTCTTCTTCTTCTTCTTCTTCACTTGGATCTCTTTTTTTTTTTTCAAATTCAAAATGGGATGAAAGTTTGGGAGTAGAAAATTTGAGTCTCCACAAGTTGTTTATATAAAAATTTCAGATCTGACTTTTTTTATAATTAAAATACAAACGTACAGTGATTTAAAAAAATTAAATCAGTTTTTTATCTATGATTTAATGAATTTGGATCTGAAAAATCTATAGCTAATGTTTATTTTGGAAATATAATTGAAAACAATGTTGTTTTCATTATATTACATGTATTGAGATGAAAAAAATACTTTAAAAATGACATGTTTTTAATATGTTTGGAAAATAATGTCATTTTGTATTTATGAAGTTGGCATTAACTTCACAAAGATGGCAATGTTACTTGAATATGTTAGGCAAATAATGCCATATTTTATAACGGTTAATGCCATGTATTTTTTACAAAATGGCATTATGATTTTAACATGGTATTAAATAATTATTCACCAGATCTGATCTATCAGCATCTGAGCTCTACTGTGGTCAGATCAATGGAGGCCGGCAGCGGCGATGCCAGAGGTTGCAGATGAGGCGGCGACGACGCCGGTATGGAGGCGGCCGACGGGAAGGCTAGATAAGGTCGGAGAAGGAGCAGTTGGCGGCGCCTATGGTGGTGACAGGCCGACAGCATTGACGGCAGTGGAGGCGGCGATGGCAGCTCTGACGTCGGTGACGGTGGTGACGGTGGCTCCGGCACCGGTGGTGGTGGCGCTGACGCCGATGGTGGCAGTGGAGGTTGCACCATATGTGCGTGAGGACTGTGCTGGGCCTCACATTTTTTTTTTGTATTATTAATTAATAAATAAACTGATTTACTCATTAAGGGTAATGTTGTCATGTCACCCCATTTTAGTCCTACAGAGCACTACGAAACCTTGGAGTCCTATTATTGCATTTTGTACAAGTTTTACTCCTAGTTAGGGAATTATGAAATTATCTCAATTTTAATTTAAGAAATTGAATATTAGAGATACTGAAGTAAATGAACACTGAGAGCTCTGAAGTTGCACATGAGATGGTACCTTGGATAAGAACATTTTTATGTTTCCTAGAGAAAGCAACTTGATTTGTAAACATAGTTCAACTAAAGGCATCCGCAACATCTCAGGTATCTGTACAGTACAAATAAAGAAAACTGAGTAGTAACCAAGAAAATTCATAGGAGTTTCATTAAAGTGCTTGTTGGGCCCATAACTGATTGGAGCTTATATATTCCAAAAGGCATAAGCACACATAAGAATCAAAGGAGAAAGTCTTTTAATGCTACGTAAAAGGCCAAAAGCTTGTTGATTAGGACAAAAAATACTTCAGGACTTGGGCCAAACTTATACTAAATTGTCATTACCTGATATGGTCTCATGAGCTTTTCATATCGATGACGTGTATACAGACAGAAGCAGATTCCTGGCTTAACACGTCCAGCTCTTCCTCTGCGCTGTCTTGCATTTGCATGAGATATCCAATCTTCAACCATGCTTGACAGTTTCTATCATCATAAGATTAGTTGATATAAAACTGCTAACTAAAGAGCAACTTTAAGACGATAAATAGTACTCCCTCCGTCCCATTTTACCGGTCTTACTTTCTTTTTAGGTTGTCCCAAAATAAGTGTCACATTTCCTATTTTAGAAAGAAATGTGTGGTCCACAACATTTTACTTTATAATACTCAAATCTCAACCACAACTTTTACTTTTTCAACCACTTTATCAAAAATTGTGCCAAATCAAAACAAAACACATAAAATGAGACAGATGCAGTACTACTTTTACTCCACAATCTGTAGTAAAAGTAAATGAAAATATAAATTTCATGAGAATGGATAGCAAGGGGTAAGCAAAGTGAAATTAACTCCAAACTCCCAATCCTATAGAGGCCCTTATAGAATATAAATCTGAATCTTACTTTCAATTAGAGACAACTAATCTGCAATACTATCTATCAGAAATATTATTACATGAATAACCTCCTGATATAAGCTTCAAAAAGAAACCACACACCTTTATGGGATTAAAGCGATTTTCCTTGTGCTTTCCACAGTCTACCACATAGACCACATCATCTATTGTTATACTAGTTTCTGCGATGTTTGTAGCAATTATAACCTGAAACATTAAGAACAGTCAATCATATTTGATTATCCAATAAAGAAGTCAAGACGAAACATTGCTATAGCATGCTCATTGCCTAAATTTATTATAAAAATCCCATATATTATTTGTCCCCACCTAGCCAGGACATGTCTGTACATACTGACAGTATTAAGTTGTACCCCAAGTCCAGAAAAACACAAAAACAGACATTTTACACTTTACACATTGAGTGATGTGACACAATCACCAAGGCCCTCTACAACTCGCAATCATCTACTCATTGTCTTAACAAAATTTCGGTGAGAGAGTTAAAACATAGGGAACTCCGCCGTGAGATCATTTTTTTTGTATAACTCCTATCCCAAGCCAGGATAAAGGAGGAGGGTGTTGTGCATACTTGTCACGGCGGTAAGTCGAGTCGAGTCGTGGCGCCAGACGATTGCCATATCCCTAGGCGATAAGGCACCTGCCTAGGAGACAATTAGGCGAATAGTCGCACATTATATAAGATATTCTATATATAATTATTTATAATTATATATTATGTATAATATATTACTAATTAAATTGTATATAGATTAGAATTGAAAACCCACAATTAATAATAATAATAATAAGTATATTATGTTTATTTGTATACGCAATTATATATAAACTAGCTTTTATGAATAGTCTAATAGTTTATTATTTTATAACAAATACTACGTAATAAATTAATAATGTACTGACTCAGCAACTCACTAGTCAGTATGCGTCATAGCTCACGGCGTGGGTATGTGTATCTCATAGTATCATGTTTATACGGAGTATAATATAGAAGTATATATAAATATATAATAAATATATATACAAATGTGCAGTATACAATTAATTCATTAAAATATTAGATATAAGAAACTAATTAGATTAAAGCTTTTCAGGTTTTTAATTAAAAAAAGGCCAAATTAGTGTAATAATCTTATGGAGTATCCATCATCGTGCAATTCAATTACTCAAGTCGTAGGGCAAGTCAGACAAGTCACAGGCAGCAGACGAACTCCATGAAGAAGAAGAACTCGCATGTCTCACCCTCCCTCACTCCCTCGCCCGTCCAGCCTAAATCTATTTTTTTCTGGGCCTGCGGACTGATGTTCGACTTGCAAAGAAAGGCGACAACTTGTCGCCAACATCACACCTGGACGATGCCTGGACAACGCCACTGCGCCTTTTATTCTTCCGACGAGGCGAGGGGAGCCATCGACCACTCTCCAGCGCCAGGATGCTTAGTCGGCGACTAAGCGATGCCGTGACAACTATGGTGTTGTGGTAGGCGTGTGACAGCCAATAGTATCACTTAATCACATCACATTACATGAATCAAGATGCGAATATCACTATATCTAGGTCATCGCCGGAAGTGACGCGTCATCCCTCTACCTAGGGTGGTGTCGAATACGCAAGGGTAAGCTAACTTAATAGGTCTGGGTGTGGTTATAAGAATGTTAACATTGTTAGGTCACAGCCCGGAAATGGTGCGCTACCCCAGTGCCCCCGGGGATGGTTTCAAATATGTGAGGGCATGGTGGGGGCTGAGGTGGTGCTAAGAATAGAAGGTGGAGTTCTAGATTGCACTTTGGGACATGGAACGTTGAGTCTGTTACGGGAAGACCATGTGAGTTAGTTGAGGTTATGAAGAGGAGGAATATCAACATTTTGTGCATGCAAGAAACTAAGTGGGTTGGAGAAAAAGACACAAGAGATTAATCCTGAAGGTTTTAAGTTGTGGAATGTGGGGAGAGAAGACTAAAATTAGAGGGGACATTATTGTGGCCCGTGAATATGTTGAGGATGTGATAAATGTCTTTAGAAAGAACGACAACCTTATGAGCATCGGATTGGTGATAAGAGATGAGATCATGCCCGTGGTAAATACCTATGTACCACAAGGGGGGTTAGATGCATCTATCACTCAGCAATTATGGGAAGATCTTGAGGAAGTGGTGCGACGAGTACCAAGGAGAGAGAAACCGGTCATAGGAGGTAACTTCAAAAGGGCATGTTGGTTCAAGTCATGATGGTTTTGAGAATATTCATGGCGGACATAGTTTTGGAATTAGAAATGAAGTAAGAAAGAACATTTTGAAATTTGAATCGACATATAGTTGCCTATAAGGAACACTTTGTTCAAGAAAAGAGACTCACTTTGTGATATATAGAAGTGTAAGCCTAATAGTACCCAAATTGATTACTTCTTAATGCAAACTACTTGAAAAACTTGTTACGTCGAGTATAAGGTTATCACACTTGAGAGTGTTATCACTCGACATAGATGTTTGTACTTGACATTCAAGGTAAGAAGCATAGACTGATAGAAGTCATGTTAAGCAACATGTAGAGACAAAGATAGGTGGCGATGGCTTGAGGGGATCTCCAACAAAGCTATGCACACAAAATGTTTGGGTAACTGTAATTGGTCAGGTCAGCTAACTATAATTGCTCAGGTCAGGTAACTGTAACTTAAGATCGGTAATTGTAAGAGGAGGGTATAAAAGTCATATAGGTCTCTTTTTTGGAAACATTTCAATTTAGTCTTATTTTTGTCTATGAGTTTCCATTTAGTATATTTATGACATAACCCCAACATGTGGAGGATGTGTGGTTGTCAATAAAACGGACCATTAACAAAGTGACAAAGGATGTCTGCCATCAAAAAAGGGCATATCTTGGTGGAATGATGAGGTGAAATAAGCCATAAGGAGAAAAGGGAATGCTACAAGAATTTGGAGAAAAGTTGAAGTGATGAGAATATAGAAGAATACAAAGAGACTAAAAGAAAAGCTAAAAAACCATGAAGGAAGCACGGGAAAAAATGAACAAGGAATTGCATGTTAAATTCGGCTTTAAGGAAGGAGAAAAAATATGTATAGACTTTCTTGCATTTATGATCATATGACTTGACTCAAAATATCAGAAAAGTTAAATGTGTGATGGATGTCGATCAAAGGGTACTAACGAAGGATGAGGAAATAAAAGAGAGGCGGAGGCCATACACATTGTCCAATGAGAATAAAGCATAAGATATTGATGATCTTACTGTACTAGATTGTTTGGTAAATCAGAATCTTATGAGAAAGTTCCAAACGACAGAAGTTAAAGATTCTCTAAGAAAGATGAGACAAAAGAAAGCAATGAATCCAGATGACATACCGATCAAAACTTGGAGAAGTTTGGGAGAGAGACATCGGGTGGTAAACACGTTTCTTGAACAAGATCTAGAGAGATAACAAAATGTCAACGAATTGGTGAAAGAATACTCTTATTCCCTTATTATTAAGAACAAAGGTGACGTATAAGAAAGTATTAACTATAGAGGGATTAAGCTTATGAGTCACATCATGAAACTTTGGGAGCGAGTGATTAAGCAAAGGCTCTAAAGAAGTGTGAAGATTTCGAAGAATCAATTCGATTTTATGTTTGGTCTCTCGATATTTGAGGTTATTCACCTTCTTTGTCAACTTGTAGAGAAGTATAGAGGCACTAATAGGATTTGCATTTTGTATTTATTGACTTGACTAGAAAAGACATATCATGTAGTTATATCAACATCATCATGGATAGAGTTGTTACACCGTGGGAGCAACCCATGGTGAACATCATATTGCCACTCCAAAAATGGCATCATTTGGGATTAAACATAAATTAAAAAACGGTCAACCTTATAGGAGAAGTAACCCAGGATCTTATATAGTGTTTTATGATTTTATATCATTCCGGTGTGTTTTCCACTCTATTCTAAAAATCGTTCTAGGTGTCTGACTAGTCCTCGCCTAGGCATTAGGCGGTTGTGGGGCGCCCCAATTTTTGTTTAGGCGCTCCGGCTAATTGGTTTGCCGTCTAGGTGAATTAGTCGGCCATTTATGGCGCCTAATCGACCGTCTAGGCTATCTAGATTCGCCAAACATTTCTTTAATTTTTAATTTTAATTTTCTAAGTGATATATGTACTTTAGCTTTAGCCATGGATATAAAAAAATAAAGTTGTAAATTAAAATAAAACTATATATATATTCCTACATATACCTAAATTTCATATACCTAAGTTAAGTGATTAGTTATCATATAATATGTATGACTAAATGTGATAATTCTATCATTCTTGTTTGTTAATGTATATGTATATATGTATTTTACACATACAAAAGTACAATATCACTTATCATATTAATGCAAAAATATAGATAAAAATGCAATTTCTTTGTCTCCGACTAGTCCCCGACTAGGCGCCCGCCTAGCCGCCTAGGCGCTAGGCTCTGGACAGGCGCCGAACTAGCGCTTAGAGCCTTTTAGAACATTGGTTTTCCTTCATTTGCAGCAGAGTTAAAGACTCACTATTTTTTGGCTTGGAATATGATGGAATAAAGCATAATGGCTCGCTAAACTGTCTACGCTTCTTTGTTATGAATTAGCAGTCAGTCAATGTAATTTGCGACATGATTTTCACTATGGATCATCCGGAAACAGCCTCTCTATGCTTTAATACAGGGGTAAGGTTGCGTGCATCCGACTCTCCTTTGCGGCACTGGGGTAATGATGATGATGATGATGTCATTCTGGTGTGGGGCATTTACTTTAACATGCTCCCTCAACCAAAATCGGGTTGGAAAACATCAGGATGTATAAATGGGCCAAACAAACCCTTAACAAGTTACCATTACCGTTAATCATGGGTGCTAAACAAGCAGTCAAACCGAACTTGGCTCTGATGTCATGTTAAGATCTAGAGTTCAATCCTAAAAAGTCAAATCTGATAGTAGTAGTCAGGATCTTATAGAGTGTTTTATTATTTCATACCATTCTGGTGTGATACATTTACTATAACATGCCCCTTCTACCTAAATTGGGTTGAACAATATCAAGGTGTTTATATGGGTCAAACAAACCCTTAACAAGCTACCCTTAATAATGGGTGTTAAACAAGCAGTCAAATCACAATCGGACTTGTGTGCTTTGATATCATGTTAAAACTCGGGGTTACATCCTAAAAAATCAACCCTGATAGGAGGAGTAGCTCAGGATCTTGTATAGTGTTTTATTATTTTATACCATTCCGGTGTGAGACATATATTTTGATATCATTAACCCAAATCAGGCTCGAAAACAGTGGAGTGTATAAATTGGCCAAACAAACCTTCAAAAGTTGCCCTTAATCATGATGCTAAACAAGCAATCAAACCATAACCGGTCCTAGCTTTGATATCATGTTAAGATTTGAGCTTTTATCCTAAAAAGTCAACCTCATAGGAGTAACCTAGGATCTTATATAGTTTTTTTTATTAAATGTTTTATAATTTAATTGGGATGTTTTATTAAATGATAAACGACAGTGACATCTGTCCCAAACCGGGCGCACCGGGCGGGGTGGGTGTTATAGACTCCGAGTCATTTCTTATTTGTTATACTCATGGATGAAGTCACAAAGTCAATTGAAGAAGATATATCGTGATGCATGATGTTTACCAAGAATATTATGTTGATCGATGAGACAAGATCATGTATTAAAATAAAGTTAGAAGTACGGTGACAAACTTTGGAGAACAGTGGTTTCCGGTTGAGTCGAAATTAGACTGAGTATATGGAGTGCAAGTTTTGTAATGGAGCCAAAAATTCATTATTTTTTGGATTGAGAATATGATGGAATAAAGCAAAATGGCTCACTAAACTGTCTGCACTTTTTTGTTATGAAGCAGTAGTCAGTCCATGCAATTTTGGACGCGATTTTCACTATGGGTCTGATAGGATCTTCCAATTATCCAGAACAATTAACAGGAAATTAACAAGAAACAACTAAAATTTGTATTGATGAAGAAGATCGATTACAGTAACAAGGCCAAAGCCCCCAGATGAGCCGAAGCCCCCAAAGAGAGAGAAATAGTTCTCAATCTTCCCAGTCCCAAGACCTAAGTCCCAAAAGCCTCCCAATTATTCCCACTTTACATCTATTTATACTAGAGACCCCCTTATTACTAATATTATTATTATTATTATTACTTCTAATATTATTCTAATAGGTAGGTCCCTATCAATACTCCCCCCCTAAACATCCACCTTGCCCTCAAGGTGGGTGATAGGAAACCGCTATGATCTTCCGCTTCCTCTTCTTTCTTGCGCCTCTTCCTTCCCAATACTTGATTGGTTGATGGCTTTGTAGCTTCAGTACTTGAACTTTCCAGCTCACATATGTTTCTGCAGACTTCAGATTTTCCATATCCATAGATGTTTTCATGCTTTCCTGAGCTATAACACTTACAACAGTAGCAGAATTGGTGTTCATGTCCTGAACCTCCACTTTAATGTGCTCATCAAAATTGTGATTGACCTTCAGAATGCTTTTCAGCAATACAATGCCATCCACTGCTGTACTTTGAGTACACCTAACATCATTCCACCAAACAGCTCCCATAGGCATATTCCATCTAGATCTTTCTACCACTGCTTGTTCCTCAAAAGAAGAATCCATTTTTACCTGATTTCTTGAAACAAAGAGTGGAAAAACCCAAACTATCTTCAAAATTGCACCATTTTTGCTGGTATGAAACAACATAGAAACCAAACAACACTTTGTGGATGAGAATACAAAATCAGTTCCTTCTTCACCAAGTACATCAGCCATAATTCTTTGGTTCCCTCGTTGCCTGTCCGATGAAGGCAGTCCGCTTTGTCTAAAAGAAATCCAATCTTTGCTGTTGTTATTCAGGTTGGAGAAATCATGAAGCCTAGAATCCCAATTGATGTAGCAGCATTCTTTGCGAGTTTTCCAAACAACAACTTCTATGAAGATAAAAGAATAACCCTTCATTTTCCTTGGTATTCTTCTGACCATAGCAGTAAGGAACAGGACAATACTCCTATATTCTTTGCAAGGCTTTAGGTTCTGCTCCTCTAGATTATCACAACATCCTTTGATAAAAGATAACTTTGCAGAAGTTAAAGCAGACACTCTCCGGTCATCATTTAGCTGTTGAAGGAAATAGTTTGACCAAAATGAGGTTATAGAAACTCTTTCCTCAGTTCCAACCATACTAGATTCCTCATCTATGTCTGCTGAATTCATAGAATGTTCAGTTTTGAGTTTAGCTTTGACACCCTGGACTCTTATCCCCTTTTCACCCGTAATAACTTGATCCTTGCTGTCAGAATCAGCAACATACTTCTCCATAAACACATAATTCACCAATTCTTTTTGAATATTTTTCATAGAAGTATCCCCTTCCCATTTAGGAATATCAAACATGTTTAATCCTTCCAATGTAATATCTAATGAGTGACAATACATTCTTTCAGTCTTGAAGACATTTGGCCAATTCATCTGCTGTACAATATGAGAAGAAATAGCACCTTCCTGAAGAAGCTTGAACCTATCGATTTCAAGGTCTGACTGGTCCAGATCGTTCTTGGAAATTATCTTACGTCTGGGGAATCCAACAACTGCTCCATATTTAGGATGAAGATTAACGGATGGTTTATCATTGCGTTCCTCTTCTCCATTGGTGTGCTGCTGAATAGCCAACTCCTGCTGCGACTCTGGAAACTCATATAGAGATTTCGAACTAGGGTTTTCTACTAGAACTGAAGCCAGAGGACCGTAAGAAGTATCTTGTGACTGCGACGGACTTATGTTTTTCGAATTCGTGCCGCGACGTACAGTCCTTGACCTTCCTCGCCGACGATTTTGCCGCAGCTTGGGCTTCTTCTCCAGGTTTGAAGGCTTTTCCTTCTTCACTTTTTCGCCCTTCTCTTTCTCCACTTTTTGGCGCTTCTCTTTCTCCACTTTTTGGCGCTTCTCTTTCTCCACTTTTTCGCGCTCATTCTTTTCTGCGAGCTTCACCATTTTTCCGCTGGAAGCCTTTTGCGACATCGAACCAGAGTGAACAGTTCGCGACTCCTTCTGCGGCTTGGTTAGCGGTGGTGACGCACTCTGCTTGTCAGATAGACGATGATGCCTGGTGTTGCTCGATCGATCTCCAGGTTCCTTGCGAAGCTTCGGTTCTTGATGCGACGTATCTGAAGTGTGCGACCTGTTCTCTTCCGACTTTCCAAAACTAACTGACTTTCGCGAATGACGCGAATGGTGAGAGTGCGAAGTATGATGCGATGCTGATGAGGCATGCGATCTATTTCGCGATCGATCTTGATTTCTCGCATCCAATCTGGCGATCATCGTTGTCAATATCTCCATAGTTCGTTGATGGTTCCTCTTCAAGTTATCCCATCGTGCTTCCATATTTGCGCGCGTCAGGACATCCACAGTGAATCGACGGCTCTGATACCAATGATATGATCTTCCAATTATCCAGAACAATTAACAGGAAATTAACAAGAAACAACTGAAATTTGTATTGATGAAGAAGATCGATTACAGTAACAAGGCCAAAGCCCCCAGATGAGCCGAAGCCCCCAAAGAGAGAGAAATAGTTCTCAATCTTCCCAGTCCCAAGACCTAAGTCCCAAAAGCCTCCCAATTATTCCCACTTTACATCTATTTATACTAGAGACCCCCTTATTACTAATATTATTATTATTATTACTTCTAATATTATTCTAATAGGTAGGTCCCTATCAGGGTCATCCGGAAACAGTCTCTCTGTGCTTTAGTACAGGGGTAAGACTGCGTACATCCGACCCCCCCTTACCCCACCGTAGGTGGGAGCCTTTGCGGCACTAGGGTAAATGAAAATGAAATGAAATGATATGGAGTGCAAGTTTGATGGAAATAGAAGCAATTGTAACTGTGGGATTGCCTTAGATGTAGATTCAAGTTTTTGTTTTTTATCTTTCTTATGTAATCTATATCTTTATTTTTTCTTTTTATCTTTTTTTTATCTTATCTTATCTTATCCTTTTATCTCTTTTTACCTTTGTTAGTTCTGATTTCATATGTCGATTCAAGTTAGCGGACCCCGAACTCTTTTGGGACTATGGCTTGATGTTGTTGTTGTAGAGTTAAAACATAGAAGCACACCAATGACTTTTGATAGGTATCATAGTTTGATATAGCTTTTGATGAACCATATTTTACCTATAGTAGTTGAGGGTTAGTGTAATAGATCCAGTTTAAAAAGACCAACAGGAACGAGGAAGTTTTCTCACATTTCTATAGGAGTATTGAGGAAAAACGATTGGGATAATTTGAGTTTGCACCCCACTTTACTATGCAAATTGGACTTTGCACCCCGTTTTTAAAAAACTTTGTTTTTGCACCCCAACCCCATATGAAAAGACAAAATTGCCCCTCCATTAACAAATTTGTTGGCCTTCAACATATTCTTGATCGAGGGCAATTTTGTCTTTTCATATGGGGTTGGGGTGCAAAAACAAAGAGTTTTAAAAATGGGATGCAAAGTCCAATTTGGACGATAAAATGGGGTGCAAACTCAAATTACCCCAAAACGATTATGTAAATGTACATCTTTTATAATATCCACTGTTTTTTTATATATTACAAAGTGTGATGCCACAATCTTTCAAAAATGGCAAGTTCAGTGCTTCTTTTATGAAAAATGAGAATATGTGAACTTTCATGCAACATATTGAGCTGAAAGTGTTGAAACCTTTCAGAGGGATGAGAAAGTAAGCTTACCTTACGAATGCTCTCCGGAGGTCTTAGAAACACCTTTCTCTGATCCTCAGATGCTATAGAAGAGTGTAAAGGAAGAAGCCATTCAGAAGATTGTCCACCAAATCGATATGAAACACTTAGTCTATCAAGCAACATATGTATTTCCGCAACACCCTGCGAATATGTAGTGAATTAAAGCATTCACTACTTTCCACTCAGAGATAGAGACGTTTCAAGTACTCACTGTAACATCAAGCACCAACCAAAATATACAGCCAAAGACAAAACTTACAGGTAAAAAAACCAACACTGCACCCTCGGGGTAAGCATCATCAATTTGACATACAAGGTCTTCTAGAAGATCATAGTCTATGACATCTTCATTCATTCTTTTCTGGATAAGAGTACATTATGGTACTTATCAAATGAACAGATTAGCACCAGCGCTTCCCATTTCCCAGTAACATAAAAGGGGGCTCTTTCTAGATATAGTTACCAGGTTTTGTCGGGTTTGCTCACTGTATGTCTGATAGCTAATTGGATTATAATATGGATTAACACAATCATCAGAAAGCAATGATTCATCTCCCCATGCAGATAGGACAAGATTTTTCTTCCCTCTGTGATTTCCAACAGGACCTCTCTGCAAGCATCAACATGAAAACAATCAACGAAAAGTCATGCCACGCTCAGTTAACATATAATTAACCAGCTTCCAAATGCATGTTCTGCCTCTACAATTCTTATTTACCATAAGGCCAAGAGCTTGATGTTTCAGGAGTTTTTATTTACCGGAAGCCACATCATACAACAAGATAACCGGTGAACGATGAAATTATTCAGACTTACTAAGAGCATGGTGTTTGGGTAGTGTAGACAACTAGACATATTCAGTTAAGGGAAGTCATCAATAGCCTACTCAGATTTGTGCACTACATGCTAAGATATATTTGTGCTGTTACTTGTAAAGGCAACCCATCAAGATATGACATTAGTTCTTTAGGATAATCCTTAGTGCCAGAAATGTGAGATGGAAAAGGCAAGAGTGGCAGGTAGGCTAACAGCTACACTTCGATTTATCATAATTTGGAAATCTCAGCAAAAATGATATATAGAAGAACCTTGTCTATTGTGGGTGTTCCGTAGTTCATAGAAGCTGGAGAGTCAGTTGTGAGGCGGTAGTTGAGATTTTCAAAAATATCCTCTAGAAAATAAGTTGAGACAGGATGTGTTCTTCCTTGTGCAGTAATTACAGGGCAATGACCAAAGTATTGTGAAAATAAATGTGAATCAACCGTGGCAGACCTACATAACAGAACCAAACAAATAATAATAATAATAATAATAATAATAGTAATAATAATGATAATAATAGTAATAATAGTAATAATAACAATAATAATAAACAATGACAATGCCAACTACGACGACGGCAACAACAACAATAATACTCCCTCCATCCCATTTTACTTGTCCCAAAATAAGTGTCACACTTCCTCTTTCGGAAAGAAATATGTGGTCTATAGGATTTCACTTTATTATACTCAAATCTCAACCACAACTTCTAATTTTTCAACCACTTTATTAATAATTGTGCCAAGTCAAAGTGAGACACATAAAATGGGACGGAGGTAGTAGTAGTAGTAGTAGTAATTATAATAATAATAACATCAATAACAACAGCAAAGCAACAGTAAAACAAAGGACAAAACTAAAAGTATAAGATACAAAACAAGCAAATGCTAAGTGCCACATAACTACACAAATCCAATCATACATCAGTATGATTTTTAGTCTTGCAATTCCATGAGCAGATTGATTTTCAACAAGATTCCGCAACACTATAAGCAAAAAATCACCCTGTCATGCAAAAAAAAAAAGATATTAGCCTTTTGCTCGAACTGATCTAGAGATCCTCGACCACTACAGGAGTTTAACTCTCCAGATAAAAAAGGAAATGTCTTATACGATTTAACATATTAACATATGATAATATATTACTACCTCCGTCCCACTAACATTGAGACATGAGGAGGTGGTGTGGTTACTAAGAAAAGTGGATTTATGTGGTTAATATTGAATGGAGAAAATAGGAATAAAGTAAGAATGATTTAGAACCACATAAACTTTTCCGAAATTGGTATGGGATAATATTAGTAGGAAAGGCCAAAAAGAAAAAATGGGACAATCTTAGCGGGGCGGAGGAAATAATATGTAACTCGTCAGAAGAGGCACGCACACTTTAAATAGAAACACTGACCAGAAGAGATCGTTCATGCACTTCATCAACAATGATGTGACTTATACCACTCAAATCTTTGTTACCCTACATTATAAGTTATAACATATCAAAGACAAAAATTTATGAACCAACACTTCAATTTCCAAAAAACAATTTCCGCTTATGTTGCAAAGGAAGAAGGGTGGGCCTAAATAATGTTCATAATCACATCCATCATATTCAAATGAAATTGTTGATAGCAAGATTTACCGCAATCATTCTCAAGAGGATGCCAGTTGTACAAAATAGAAGCTTTGTGTTATCATTCCTAAAAGCAAGAAATAAGAATGTATATGTATATAATTATTGCAGTTCATCTTTTGACGATGGGATGGGTAATAATGCAAGAACAGGAGCATCTGCCAGTACTCAGCAGTAAATGTTTGTGCATGTAAAACAAGGAACTTGACATCTGTAAATGAGTCCCAGACATATATCACAAAGAGCTCAGAAAATATATGTGGTCTATGATGCAAAGGGTTTGAGTTAGAAGAGCAGCAGCACATGTAACATCCAATCCACTAACAGATTTCAGCTCGGAACAACTGCTGAGTACTGACAAGTACGGACTTTGGCAGGTCATTACCTTGCACTATCAAGGCGAACTTGATAGCCAACCAAAGAATCATGTGAACCCAGTGATGATTCAACTCTCTCATCAGCAACTCTTTCAGCTACAGAAATTGCCTATTTAACAGGACTCTCACCATTAAAGGATTTCATAATGGAAAAAACCAGTATGAATTCAGAAACTAAAATAACAAGGATTTAGCATGAAGATGTATTACTGACCGCGATTCTCCTAGGTTGTGTACAAATGATATTACAATATCCACCACATCCTGATTCAATCATGTCATCCAATATAAATTGAGGAACCTAAGAAACTAGGAGTTAATAGTGCAGAAGAAGTTCTAAGAAGATCATGATATAAATAACTCCACTTTGTTTACATTTTTCCTTTTAGCTTATATTGGCAATTTCAAGCATTAATTTTTTGCTGAAGGGTCAAATAGGAACCAGTAACCGTCTAAAATGTTCAATTCACCCCCTCAACCATAAAAACTTCTTATTAAATCAATAAGTCAATAAAAACTTTCAAAAAGTTCATTTGGCAGGTCTTGACCCCATTGCTTTCCTTCCCAATAAATAAATACCAAAGTGGCATCAGATTAGACTTGAATTCGGTTTCTTAAATGCATGTGGAGGCCACATCATCATCTAGCCCCCATCATCTTCTTCATCCTCCCTTGATTCAACCCCAGATTTAGTGTTATGGATTGGCCGGCATAAGGGTGCAAACTACGAGTACCAATCTCATCTCACCATAAAAAGCAACATCTCATACAATCTCCTCGCCATCAATTCTACAACTTAGGCAGAAAGCGGAGTAAAAAATTAACTCTTCAGACATCAGTCGGAAATTAAAATTATAAAGAAGCGAAAAACACAAACTTTCAAGTCTTTGAAAAAAAATGTTGAGCTTAGGGGCATGGGGTGTGGGGGAGAAACAAAGAACTTTTATAGAAAGTAGAGTGCAGTATAAAATTTATAGACTGAAGAAGACCCACAGAAAAGATGTGTGGGAAAAATAAATACAAGGTTGGGTACCCATTGTAAAGCTTCAAAACAAGGCATATAAATTCTAACCTGAGTGGTTTTCCCACATCCTGTTTCCCCACAGACAACCAAAATATCATTCTTTTCAAGTGAATGTAAAATATCATCCTTTAGCTCGGCAATGGGAAGGGAAGCTCTGGATTTCAACATGTCCTAAATGGAAAATTATAAACCAATTAGAGGCAAAAGAGTTATGCACATGCGCATACATTCATTGTAATTGCATATGAAGAAAGTAATTGCAGCTTTGGAAGCAGCCATAGTGTAATACTGCTCAGAAATAGCATTGAATGCTAAGGTGGAAGACCATCACTTGTATAAAGAGACTGCCAAAGAACTGCAAACACTATCCCCATACCTGAATTTTTGGAGTACTCAACATAATGTAAAAAGTGGATCTGAGTGTGCAATTTCAAAGTAGCAAAATATCTCAAGTTCAGGGAGGGTATAACAAAAACTAAAAAGTGAATTCTGCTATGCTTGAAGTATTTGTCTCACATTGAATTGGTACAAAACAATAAACTAATATATAAGACTCTGGTGTACTCCTCTTATCACGTTTACGTTTTAGAATATAACCTAAGCCGTTAACCATGTATCAGAGCAAAACCCGGTTGTTGTTTGGTTGTGTTTAGGACACATGATTTACGATGACCATTTAAGGTCTGTTGGCCCATTTATGCACCTTCATGCTTTGAACCCGGTTGGGCTGAGGGTGAGCGTTGAAGTGACTTTCGTTTACTCCTCCTATGGTGGAACCTCATATCTAGATAAAGCACCTAAACAGTCTTTTCAAGAAGATGCAAATAAAACTCTCAATTTACACTATGGATTATCAAGGTGATATCAAGTGTCAACAATAAGATGGGTTTAGTTGTAGACTCATGTTAGTTTCTTAAAGTTGTCCTAAATCCTAACCTGATATCCCCAATTTTTATTGTAGATGAATCGAAAAAATACTTACCTGGTACTTCTTCATTTTCTTCTTATTCTCTTGCTCTTGCTTCAAATAAATACTTTCTGATTCTTTTCTCAGATCCGGCTCTGCATTATTTCAAAAAGAAGTGCTAAGAAAGACATTCAAACAAAAACCCTTATGTGAATGCATACACAATCTTGTAGAGGTAATCCAATTTCGTACATCCAGGTTACCTTGGAGGTTATTTGGGAATACATAGACATTCTTACATTCTAAAAACTGACTATTTTGCTACAAGAATAAACAAGCAATGATATCCCCTAAAAGTCATACAGTGAATTAATGAATTAAGAGAATGAGATCATTAGAAAAGTTCAGCTTCACATTGGGCACGCGCAGGGCACAGTATGATGCATATCGGCCACTGATATGCTGATATACTGCACTTCATATGAGCTAGCTGTAGTATTCTTCTTCATGACCACTAGTTTATTTTGACCAATATTTGATTTTTAAAAAACACTAATTACTCCAAGTACTGAGAAAGTAGAAACGTTTACCATGTTTTGACATACTGTCAAAACTCAAAAAAAAAAACAGTAATAGTGACTGAAATTAAAAAGTAGGTGGCGTAGAATAAAACAGGTGTTTCCCCAATAACATAAAAATGTCAGTCCACTGGACATACTTTTAATTTTGAAATTAGAGCTAGTAGTTTGATCTTCTGTAGCTTGAGGCTTGTGCATCATATCCTCAGTTGAATTGTCAGTAACACTTAAAGGAGCAATGGTACCCGTCTCATAGGCATCCAATAATAAATTGATAAAACAGTCTCTACGTTCTTCTTGATCTTCTACTATATTGGCCAAACATTCACCTGGAATTTTTTAAAAGAAGGGAAGAATTTATCAGAAATATCACACAAGAACATCACTGCAGAAAAGTATATGAAGATTATTGCAACAATAGAGATTGTGTCCTCTGCCCACTATCAATCATTAACACAATTGTTACGGGCAGCTTGTGTGCAAGATCTCGTCACAGGCCTTCGGGTGAGTGGGAGGGTAGACTGAGCTTTGGAAGGGTTGGCTATGTTTACTGTTTGGGCAGAAAACTGGGAAGAATATAAATATGCAAACTTTTATCAAGTTGGAATTTTTTGTTGAGAATTCCAGAAACTCCCTTAGACTTTTCTTGCTAAAAACTTGCATGCCTTTTCCTTGCATTCAACTGGCCTTTAAATAGGCTTAACAGAGTTTGGGAAATAAAATAAAGAAAACAACTTTAAAAGAAAACAATAATTCAAAGATTGCAATCAGAAAATAATATCTCAGATCTCTAGGGATCTCAAATCCCTGACAGTGACATGTCTATCAGATTTGTCTGATTTATTTGTCTCCCAGATTTGTTTGATTTTATTTGTCTTCAAAATCAATCTGATTTGTCTTTGTGATTTGCTGGGTTTTATCTTTCTTTCTTTTACGGTGATATTGACGCCCTATGAATGCATCAACAATGCACTATAAAGATCAAAGAATAAACTATTCCAACTAAAAGTAAAACAACATACGAGAATATCACCTGCTTTCCAGTGGAGGACAATTGACGCATATGGCTCTGTGATTGACAAGTGAACAGGGAGATCTGGAAACAACTGATACAGAGCATAAGCTGCCACCTTATTCTGTGCATCCTAAAACCGAAGTGAAATAAATGTATCAACATTGAAAAGAGAAACATAATACAAATTCTAGGTTTTATGTCCATAGGTTTTTGTTCTTGACAAAGAGAAACACGGAAACACCGATCAATAGGTTTGGTACGAGGACCCTTTTGCATTTTTTCACACAACGAAAACTACTCAGTCCCTATTCTTTTGTATCACTCTAACCTATTTATAGTATTTTTTTCAACCTTACATCCTAATTATTCTACTCACTTAGTCCCTCCGTCCCAGATAAATTTTGCCGTTTCGGTAGGTTAACTACATACATTAGAGTTAAGAGTTAAAACATACATATGTAGAAAACTAGAAACTATATTAAAAGTTAAGAGTTAATATGATTAGAGTTAATATTTCCGTTATTACATCCCTGAAAATATATAAATTAGAGTTAAGAGTTAAAACATACATATGTAGAAAACTATAAATTATATTAAAAGTTTTGTTAGAGCACTAAAACTCAATTCGAGTATGATAAAAGTTTGATATATAAAATAAGAGCACTAAAAGTCTGATTAAAGCTCAGTTGAGTGCAGAAATAGTACCTGCAAAGATTTATCAGAACAGAAGTAAATATGACCAAACAAAAAAATTATTTCCTCTAAAGGAAATGGGAAGACATTAATGATACGGCCAACAAAGGAAAACTGGGAGAGCATTTGGGGACGGGTGGAGTTTTATGTTTCTTCTAGAGTTAAGGTATCTCTTTATACTTCATTAACAGATCATTTTAATTATGGGACCAAGGCTTGGATGTTGTTGTTGTTGTTGTTGTAGCCTTAGTATTAAAGAGATATGTGATTAGGCTTAGTACCTCAGCATTACCCGATATCTGATCCTGTTCTGGAAGCTCGACTGTCATAAGCCCCCCAGCTTTTCTGCTTTTACCCCTTCCACTTGCTTTGCGCAATATACTTAAGGTGTAACAAGACCAATTTCTCTTATCAAGTACTTTTGTATATTTTGGTGCATCCCATCCTGATTTCTGACAAAGCTGATGTAGAAAAGCCTTTGGAATCTTTCTTGGATCTCCCTTTAGTTATGTATAAGAAACTTTTAGGAATGAGATAAGGATTGCAAAAACATAATAATGAAAGACGTAAACATGCATAAAATAAGGGGCTTGAAATTGAACAAGGTATGCATGCTTCAAAACTCGCAAGGGCAGTAAGCAGCAGTTTAATAATAGGTTAATTGCTTTGGCACCTGTTATAAGGACAAAGGTTGAAGTTGGGAGTTGGAAGTCCGTTATACACCGACATACAAAAACACAATATACAACAACAACAACCGTAAAAAAAAGAGTAGACAACGCGCAGTTTGGTCTTGAACTAAAAATAATCATGCACCAATGCACCACCTACTTTATGTTCAGTCTTTTTTTAAGTATTAGAATAACAGTCATCAGAGTATTGTACTCAGCAGCTTTTACCTTCTTCCATACACCTTCTAGCTTCTCTAAATTTTTATCAGATAACAGTTCTCTCAGTTTCTCCTTTCTTTGCAGATCCAGAACTTCAGCAGGCAACTCAACAGCTGAATCCTCTTCAAATAGAAAATTACCAAGTTCCTCATCAGTTGTTTCTCCTTCTGATTCAGTCTTCTCAGGTAAGGAGACACTTGCAGAGTCATATTCAGCAGATAACTCAACCACTTTTTTACCAATATTCAACTCCCACTCATTAAGAATAGGAGTTCCGCAACCTTCTGCATTTTGTAAAGTAACAGCATCTCCTTCCAAGTTCTCACAAGGAATGGAAGAGCAAGTCAGTCTCTGCATATCCTGGTGAGAACTTTCATATCCAGATTCAAGGACAGCATCTGACAATCCTGATTGAAGTTCACCAGACTAAGTAAACAGCTAAACGGATATACCAAAACAAGATTGTGATAGGCAAAACTTTCTACCTAGGGCAGACAACTCCTGCTTGATTTTGCATATAACTCTGCTTGCTTGCTCTTGTCCTTTCTTGTCACCAGTCTCTTTTGCATGTATAGCTTCCAGCCTTGCAGCATGAAACTCTCTGACAATAGTTTCATGGCTACGCCTAGACTATGGACACAAAGAGCAATATATAGTGCGAGACTGATAGCAAAATCTCAAATAATGTTCGTTCCATAATATTATATATGAGAGAAAATGCTTCCAAAAATATATAGAATGCAAGACCATCTAGGGTTTTAAATGATAATAGAATTTTATAAAAAATAAACCAAAGCAAGTAAACTGGATTCAAGATCTGGAGCCAGAATCCTAGTCTTGGACTCTTGGATCAACAAACTAACAGAGTGTTCAAGGGTGAATACAGCACTATAAACGAAAGTCATTATATATGCCGTAAAAGAATGAAAGGAACAATTATCTGTCATAAAATATAACATTTCCACACTTGCATTATTGAATCAAATAATTCAATGAAGAGATGTCACCATAACCTTGGTACAATGTCCAATAACATGAAGAATAATAATGACATAATGACCCTCAAAGTCATCATCACTCATGACTATATAAGATATTCAGTGACAAGTACCTGCTTTGAAGAAGTGCCATCAATCAGGTCCGATTCAGATTCAGACTCATCCTACATGATAAAATGGGAGAGAGCAGCAAAATGTTAGAACGGAATGACTAATATCCAACAAAAACAATGTGAGACATAATTAAATAAAGTAGCTATTGTCTATTATGTCTTTAACATCCAACTTTCATGTAATTTTTATCATGCCAAGTTATACCAATAAGGATACCTCTTGCTCTCTCATATACCGGCGGATCCAATCTGCTTGAGCTCGCTCAACACAATCAAAAGTTTCATCATCCCTTCGTTGTTTCGTGATCACATCCATTATTTCATCCCTTGCTCCTGCAGCTGATGATTCTGTGGAGGGAACCCAATCTTCTCTTACATTTGAAATGATGCCAACAGAACCTGTTATGGTATGCATTAAATGTGCTTTAAATCCATTCTTTCAAATAGATCCAATTCAACCAATCCAAAAGCAAGACTGTTGCATCATACCTTCATTTAAGTGCAAAGTGTCACTAGAAAACTTCTTTGGGAGCTCATCCCCAGACAAATTTAAACATAGCCAATCTAGAGCAGCCTCAAGTGTTGCACCATCCTTCGTAGTACAAATAAAACAAGATAACAGTCAGCTTGTAATTGAAGCTATAGTATGAAAAATCAATCATTCAAAAAGTTTACTGGCTAAGGCACAAAAACAAAGACACAGAGTGATCATCATCAATACATTCAATAAAATAGAAATGTAAAGTAGAACAATAAGAGCCACTAATTGAAGTTGTGTCAGATTAAGTTACGATGTCATTGAAATCAGTCCATGTGGCATAAATGAAGTTACGTAGAAATATGATGTTTGGATTTCTAACGGAACATTGTCTAAATAGTAGATAAGATATTTACAATGCAATATTTTGAGACTTATAAATGTATTCAGTGTCATAACTGGTTGTTGGGAAAACTCGGACATTCTCCAATATCGAGATTCTTCCACTATACAAACGAATAGTAAGATGACCAGAATGTATTTACAAAATTGACTCACTCTATCGTGGCTCACTCAAGCTTGAGGATGGAGTCTTCCCAAGTTATCTCTCTTCTCTCTCAATGAGGCTCTCTCGCTACCTACTTTCTCAAACTAGGAAGTACCTTCTCAGTTGGCTTGGATGGTTAGGAAGGAAACTCTTAATAATATTTATACTACTCTACTTCCATAATGAATGGTGGAGAATAGTTCTATAAATTCTAGACAACTCCAGGGAGTCTCTACACCTCTCTATTCCCTTCCATATCCTTCTATACTCTATCGTAAAGTTTTGGAAGGTTCCACACATCTCCAGAATACTCTAGAGAATTCCACACTAATCCACAAACTTCTAAAGAGTTCTACACTTCTCTAGGATTCTCCAGAACATTATAGGAAATTCTACACTTCTCAAGAAAGATCTAGAATTATATAGAACCTCTCTAATTAAGGGAAGATCCCAAAAAAACTCCCCCTCTCGAGTTAATTGGGGGTAATCGCAAACCGACACCTTGACAACAATCTTCAAACTTCTTCGTCGGTATTACTTTAATCATCATGTCTAACCAGTTCTAGTATATGTGAACCATGTCAAGATGTAATTTCTTTTCCTTGAGGATTTCATGAATCCAATGATATCTTGTGTCAATGTGTTTTGGGCGGCGGAAATGAAATGTTTAGTTCCTCACCATGTAAATTGCACTTTGATTATCGCACTTGAACACATGACTTTCTTGATCTATTCACAGCTCGAGTAACATGTTCTTCATTCACAGCATTTCTTTGCAAGCTTCGATAGTTGCGATATACTCCGCTCATGGTGAATAATGCAAGACACTTTTGCAACTTTGATTGCCATGAAAGAACTCTGCTGCCAAAAATAGTTAGGTATCTAGATGTTAACTTCCTTGAATCAATGATTCAATATCACCGGCCAACTGTGGATTTGTGTATCCTTCTAACACAGGTTTCTCTTTCCCGCAGTGTAAGCATCTTTTGGAAGCACCATGTAAATATCGGAGGATCCATTTGACAACAACTCAATGTACATTTTCAAGGTTGGTCAAGAAGCGGTTGACGACTCCAAATGCATAAGCGATATATGGTCTTGTGCATATCATTGCATACATGATACTGCCTATTACATATGAATATGGAATCTTCGTCATTTCCTCCATTTCTTTCTCACTTGTGGGACTTTGCTTCAAACTCAACCTGAAATGTCCCCGGATTTGATTTGTCCATGTTGAACTGTTCCAACTTCTTTATGTACCTCTCTTGGGATAGCCACAACAATCTTTTTGATTTATCACGAGTTATACTCATCCCAATGATTTTTTTAACCGGTAAGAAACCTTTCATGGCAAAACTTTGCTTAGATCTTTCTTCAAAGCAGCTATTTATACGCGATCTTATCCAACAATCTATCATCAACATAGAGCATAACCACGAGAAAGTCGCCACTTACATACCTCTTTATAAAGACACAATGATCACTCTCCATCTTTATGAAATCATACTCTACCATGAAAGTGTCAAACTTCTTGTACCATTGTCTCGGTACTTGTTTAAGGCCATATGAACTTTTCATGAGACAACACAATATGTTTTCTTTGCTCGGGACTTTCAACCCCTCAAGTTGCTCCTTGTAGACCATGTAGACCTCTTCCTCTAGATCACCATGAAAGAACGTTATCTTGACATCGAGTTGTTCAATCTTTGAATCTTGCTCTGATACTGAGCCAAGGACAACTCGGATAGATGACATCTTTACCACGGAAGAGAATTGTTTTTAAAGTCAGTGTCTTTTTCTTGACCAAAATCTTTGACGACCAATCGAGCTTTATAGCGAGGCATTGAGATACTATCTTTAGTTTTGATATGATACATCCACTGATTCTTCAAGACTTTTTCTCCCTTTATACAGCTCCACGAGTTCATAAGTCTGATTCTCATGCAAGAATTGCATCTCTTCTTGCATGGCTCTTCTCCACTCCTCTATGTGAATATCATTGTTTACTTCTATATAGCTCTGCGACTCCCCCTCATTTGTGAGTATAACGTACTCCTCAGTGTTATACCGAGTAAATGATCTTCTTTTCCTAGAAGATCATCTCGCCTTTGGTGTTGGCAATGAGTTAGATTGAGGATATCTCTGAGTTGGTTCATCATGACTCATGAGTTTCATGGTTGTTTTGCTCTAATACAAGCACATGGTCTTCAACATCATTGTTTTGAGGTGATTCATTATCATCATGTCAAATTGTATTAAGTTTGGTGCTCTTGCTGCTTCTCAATCTTAGTTTCTCTGAATATTTAATATCTTCGATTCTTTGAACTTCGAAGAATACCACTTCTCTACTAGAGACCCTATTGATCACATCTCATAGCTGTTGGCTGAATTTGTCCTTCGATAAGCGAAGGTAGATACACTCCTTTGTCTTTACGTTAAACTTAGTATGCTAATCTTTGGAGATGAAAACAACCTTGCACCTGAACACCTTGAGATGATTCGTGATTGTATGGACTCTTTTACTCGTCCAAACTTCTTCTGGGATGACACCGTCCAAAGGAATTGATGGTGTGAAGTTGACAATGTCAACCACAACCATTATAGCTTCTCCCTAAAAGTACTTGGGTAACTTAGCAAATTCTTTCTCCAATCGTTCTATTCATTCTCTCAGCTAACTCATTCAATTGTGATGTCTTAGGTGGACACTTCTCTAGCCTAATGTCATATATCTTGCAAAAGGTTTTAAAGGAACCTCTATACTCGCCTCCATTGTCAAATCTTACACACTTGATCTTTTGTCCAGTCTCACGCTCAACCAGAGAGTGGAATTCCTTAAAAGCGTCAAGCACTTGATGATTTAATCTTAACAAGTGCAACCACACCTTCCTTGAATGGTCATCAATGAAGGTGACAAAGTACAATGCACCACCAATGGATCTATTGGACATTGTGCATACATCGGTGTGTACAAGGTTGAGAATATTCTTTCTTCTTGTGGGCAGAGAAGATTTTTGGAAAGCAACCCTATGTTGTTTTCTAGCTAAATAGTGAGCACAAGGATTAAGTGGCTTACCTTTCACGTCCGAGTGGAGATGCTTTCGAGCAAGTATGTGGAGACCCTTCTCACTGATGTGGCCAAGTCATATATGCCATACCTCCATTTTATCAGTGGTTATGATTATCTCTCATTTGTCTAGTTTATCTTGTATCACTTACAATGATCTTTCCTTCTTTCCTCGAGCCATGACTAGACTTCCTTTGGTGAGTTTCCACTTTCCTTCACCAAAGAAATTTATAGAACAGACATTGTTTAGCTACCCAGCTGAGATAAGATTGAGGCACATGGTCGGGAAATGCCATTATAAGCAACGGTATCCTCCATTTTGAACTGCACGAGCTAATTACGGTCTCGGGTGAAACTGAATTTGGTTCCATTGTTGGGAAAACTCGGACTTTCTTGATTCGTGATGTTTAGATATGCATTTAAAAATTAAAGATAGTAATGAGAGCACACGAGTATGATTCTACAATATCGAGATTCTTTTATTATACAAAAGAATAGTGGAATTACAATGATGTGTTTACAAAATTGACTCACTCTATGATAGCTCACCTAAGCTTGAGGATTGAGTCTTTCCAACTATCTTTCTTCTCTCTCAAAGAGACTCTCTCATTATCTACTTTCACACTCTAGGGAATGACTTTTCACTTGGCTTGGATGATTAGGAATGAAGGTTGTTACTCCTATTTATACTACTTCACTTTCACAATAAATTGTGGAGAATAATTCTCTATAATTATCTACGTTTATCTTCATATCCTAGAGAACTCCAAGGGGACTCTATGTCTCTCTTCCCTTCTATATTTTTAAAGTTTCGAAAGGTTCCACATTGGGGGCGTAGCTAGGGTCAACCTAGGTCTCGTCTCACTCCAAATTCAAAAAATGTCTATATTTTTAGTGTAAAAAATTCGTTTGAAAATTTTTCCAAATATACTCTTTGTACAGGCCCAGTAAGCAGGTGTCCTAACTCGCCTGGTTCCATACATTTTTAAAATAATCTAGAGGATTCCGCTAATGAGTTTTATACTTCTCTAGGATTCGCTGAAATGTTCTAAAAAATTCTAAAAATTTCTACACTTAGAAAGAGGTAAAATTTTCTACGTCTTTCTACTTCTAATGTAAACCTGGGGAAATGATTACTGCACCTTAAGAGCGGAGAGTGCTCGTTCGATTTGATCATCACTGAATCCTTCGCATGAGAGCTTCTCGTAAATGGTGCGAAGCTTTTTTTCCTTCTGGGCCTTGGAGAGTGAAACTTCAACTGGAGCACGAGCCCAGGACCGGCCCGAGTTCAGTAACAATCTCCGCAGCCGGTTCTCGTTCTCATATGATATCTGCAGCTTTGGACCAGATGAAGAAGGACTCTTTTCTTTGGATGATGAAGATTTCTGCCTCTGTTGCTTTTTCTTCGGAGCCATCCTGTATATGAATGCTTATGATATAAACGACGAAGTTCAAAAGGAAAGCGTTGTGTTTTGATGACTGAGGAGTAGCGATCACTGAATTGAACTGCAACGGTGGCTGGCGATTTTACCGCCGACTATGGCCGGGTGAATTTGAGAATTGAGGAAGCAGATTTATGAGCTACTCCTTTTTTTTTTTTTACTTTGAGTTTCGAATCTTGAGACCTGCAGTAAGGGATAAATGTGTTGGACTGCTTCCTCCGAACTACTCCTTTTCATCAAAAAAATGTACCAAGTGCTTGGTAATATTTTGCTCACTTTTAATTTCTAAAAGAGTATTTGCAAAAGATTAAAAAAACATTTTCAATTTTTAACTTAAAAATAGTTGAAATGAGTGTTTTAGGATGTAGTTACTTGGACTGTAATTTGTTGGTCTGGTCTGGTCTGAACTGGTTTGGTCTGGTCTGGTAAGGTCTGGTTTCTTTATATTTTTATAACTATCCAAGTCTGGTCTGGTCTGGTCTGAACTGGTCTGGTCTGGTCTGGACTGGTCTGGTCTGTGGCAAATTACAGTCCAAGTAAAAACATCCTTAATGATTTGCTTAAACTATAGCTGATATGTAAGAGAGTTTCTCTCTCTAGGGTTTCTATCGCTAGAGCTCTTCGTCCGCTGTCGACCTCGTCGAGGAGCGGTGGCGCTAAGAGAGCTTCTCTCTCTAGGCGGTCGTCTCCCTAGGTTTAGGGGTTGCTTGTATGGCTTTCGTCCGACTTTTGTGAGGCTCTCTTCTTCGGCAGACCGCAACGCCTATATGGAGGCCAAAAGTTGTGTACCGCTAGCAGGAGGTAGAGAGTTTCGAGAATGTCGTTCATAGTTGAGATCAGAATTCAGAAGGTCATGGATGAAGCGTGGGGCAGGAACAGATCTGGGTCTAAGGCAAGGAGCGGAAGAAGCTACAGTACTGATGGACCGTCCCCCTCCTGAGCCGCCGCCATAGAGTGCATGAGAGTTTAGAGTTTGGATCGGAAGCAGTTTTTTAATTTTACCGTTTGCTTGCTTTTTATTTTTAGTGTTCACTCTGTTTATTTTTCCATTGGTTACTTTTATTGTTGTAAGATTCTTGCATTAGGATTGAGTGATGGGAGGTCTGCTTTAACCGTCGTTGGCTCATTTGTACCCATTATAGGATCAGCGAGTTATATTGCTTTTTTAAAAGTGATTGACTCTAAGTCTGGTTCGAGGGCTGGCAGTTCCCTGTGGTCCATTTGTCGTTTTACCCCTTATCTGAATGTTGTGATTGTAATTTAAACCATCTGTTTAGACGATAAAAAAACTGCTTATACTTAAATTAAACACTTTAAAACTAAAAGTGAAAGCTTAAATAATTGAAACTGCGAGGATAATAATAATCTTAAATAAATTCTTCTAAAATCCAAAGTACTCTTCTCCCACCCACCCTATGTCGTATTCCCTTACTAGGGCCAGTATGGCAGTACATCATCTTCCTCAATGGTGCCGTGCTTCCGATGTAAGGCAGTGGGAAAGGAATCAATAAGAATGGTGAGAAAGATGAAGAGCCTAACCCCTGTTTGGTTCAAAGTAGGGGAGGCAAGGGGAGAGTCAAGAAGGGAAGGGGGGGGGGGGAGATTTTGATAAATATTTGTGTTTGATTAGAGGAAATAGGATGAAAGGTTGCTTGAAAAAGTAGTTTACTTAAAAAAAAATAGCTTACTTAAAAAAACAGATACATCTCTAACTATGATGAATATTACTCCTATGGTCATGAGTCATAATTTTTTTATTGTTATTTGATTTTTTACTTTTTATAATTTATGGTCTTTTAAAAAAAATTGTTTGATTTTTATTTTTTTTTATTTTTTTATTTTTTTAAATTTTTAATTTTTTTTGTTTTTAAATTTTTTAAAAAATTTAAAATTTTAACTTTTAGTTTTATTTATTTTCCTTTTTTATTTCTTAATTTTTTTAAAAAATTTTATTTTTTGTTTTTTTAATTTTATTCAATTTTATTTTTTTAAATTTTTTAATATTTTTTTACTTTATAATTTTTAAAATTCTTGATTTTTAAAATTTTAAATTTTTTAATTTTTCAAAACTTTTTTTTACGTTTTTTATATTATAACGTTTTGGATTTAGAATGGGAGGAAGTGGAGGATTTGGGAAATCTTAACTTTCGTCCCTTCCCTCCTATTTCCTTCAACTAAACATACACAAATCTCTCACTTCCCTCGTCTCCCCTCCTCCAACCAAACAGGGTCAGGAGATGACTTCTCGTCACGCAACCCAGACGGTACAAGAATTGAAGAAGCTCTGGTGAAAGTCATGACGACAAAGGCCTAACATCCAGAGAAGATGATTCAATAATTTCTGGCGCTAAATTTTTCCCACTTCACCGTAGCTCTTGCTGCTTTGCTGATAAATGGAATTTGGTTTGCTCGATTTGTTCTTTACCTAAATTATCGAACGATCAATTGGTGTTTTGTAATAATGTAATATTTAGGGATTACTTTGTAATATTCCATAACTCTGTTTTATTATAAAAATACCATCAAGGCACCCAATAGGGCAAGCCATTATTTCCCAAAACTATTGTTTCGTATATGGTTTCAGTCGCCTAGGTTTTTCTCTCTTCCCTCTCTCCATGGTCGGTACCAATATTCCAGCCGCCACCATGTCTGGCGCTACCAATCACATGCAGGCACCCATCCAGCCGAAGCAGCCGCAGACAACCGGAACTCAAGCGCCCACACAACCGGTGCTGCCTTCATCCGCGGTCATCAGTCCGATAGGCAGGACCACCGCAACCTTCGAGACGGGTTCCAGCAGTGTCGATCCCACCACGACACGTGGCGATGATGTCTCTCGGTCTCCACTAACACCATCTCTTCACCAGAGGATCTCACAATTCCCGTCTCTCGAGTCCTACAATTTATTCAATATGCCGGAACCTTTTTCTTGGACTCCTACCATTAGTCTACCGTCGCCTCCTCTCCTGACGTCGACGACCACGACTCCGGTCACCGGTGGATCATCCATGCCATTTGTGGGTCCCACATTCTCTGGCCAGGCGGGCGTCCATCCACTACTTCCCGGACAGTCCACAAACGCACCAGGTTCGGCTCCTTTTTTTTTTTTTTTTTAATTAGTGACCCGGTTTTAATCCAAAGAATCTGAAGATTCTTTGGGGTAGGGGCCAGGGGAACACCCTACCTCTTTATTAAATTGAAAAAATTACATAAAGTAGGAGGACCAAACCAAGCCTACTCCAATTAAATTACATAAGGATAACTAATTGCATCAAACTTCAGAATTCCAACAAAATGTTTAAAATGGTGTGCATTTGTAGCAATGGAAATACTTCGGTAAGCTAGATAGTCGGCGGCAATGTTGATCTTTGGATGAGTGTGGACAAGTGTCCAATTGTAGCCGGAGAGTGCTCTTCTGATCTTCTGAATTCGAGGCCAATATTGCCAATGTTGAGCCGTAATTCCCATAATGCCTTCATAAATGTTACTATTATCCACCTCAAGAACAAAATTTTTATTTGTATTGTTGATGTTGATAATAGTGTGAAAGATAGCATCATAAGTGGCTTGAGTTTTGTCATCAGTAGTGGCTACGAAAGTCATATGCCCGGTGTAATTGCCAAGATCATCTCGAAAGAGCGTTGCAGTTCTAATAAGAGTGGCATTGAGGTAACAAGTGGCAAAGTTGATCTTTTGGTAGGATTTGGGAGGTTTATTCCAAGTGGTAACACAAGGGATATTGGCAGTCTTTTTGGGCAGGATGGTGATGACATTAAAAGGAGATTGGTTGTTGCAGGAAATGAAAGGTTTGGCATTAGAAATGGCAAAAATATCAGTTTTTATAGCTTTTATTGCCTCAGGAAAATAGGCTACTTTATTATCATAAAGGAAACTGTTCCGTATCTTCCAAAGATTCCAAACAACAATATTTGGTATTATGTAATTGAAATCGGCAATTTTTCCTTTAAAATCATTGTACCAGCCCCTCAAGTAGTTTTGGACATCATAATAATCATTGGGCTTGAAGTTTAAGATAGTTTCAAAGTGATTCCAAACTTCTTTGCTAAAAGGGCAATTAAGAAAAAAATGATTGATAGTGTCCTTGTTGGGGCAGAAAGGACATTTAAAAGGCCCAAAAATACCAAATTGTATGAGTTTGTCCTCAAATGGAAGAATACGGTTATCAAGCCTCCATAGGAAAAAAGAGACCTTTTTAGGGGTTCGATTATTCCATATAAATTTAGTATCCGGTCCAACATTCATTTTAGGCCTTAATACATCATAGGCACTATAAAAACTGAATTCGCCATTAAGGTTGGGCTTCCACACATAATTATCATCACGGTCAGTGTAGTGGACTTTGTTTTCGTGGATTTTGTCCACCAAGATTCTAGGGAGACAGTTATAAATAGCAGGTATCAAAGTATTATTAGGCATCGCATCTTTTATGGAAATATTACTCAGGCAAACAGGGATGTCATCATGGTGAAGGTACAGGGGGCCAATGCTACACCAGTTAGCAAACCAAAAGGAGCTGGAACCCCTGTTTACCTGAATACAAGTATTGGCCTCAAATATGTGATCAACTGAAACGAGGGCTTTATGCATAACCGAACGGGTATTATCCTTCAGGTCATTGAACCAATTAGCCCATAGGCCATTATTGGTTTTGATCTTCCAAATCAGTTTGAGAAAGAAAGCATTCTGAACATGATGTAAGCTACGAAAACCCAAGCCATTTTCAGAAACAGGATAACAACAACGATTCCAACTACGCCAAATATGCCTATCATTATCAGCATTTTTATCCCACAGAAAATTAGAGAGTTTTCTCTCTAATTTTTGAATAATAGAGATCGGGAGGGGGGAGACAGCCATGTGATAAAGGGGCATGGTATTAAGCACATGATGTATAAGAATCATCCTACCACCCACTGAAAGGAGGTTATGTTTCCAACCTGCCAATTTTCTATCAAATTTGGCTAAAATATGATCAAAGTAAGAATTAAGCTTTCTTCCAGTAAAAATATTAGCACCCAGGTAGATAAAGGGTAAAGTACCCTTCTTAATATTGAAGATATCCTCCACATTCTTTAAGGTATGCCTTTTTGCATGTTTAGAGACAATATAAAAACTTTTATCTTTGCTTACAAGCTGGCCAGAGAAGGATTCGTACTCCTTAATGGTTTTATTCAAATGTGAAAGAGTAATTTTTTCAG